AAAAGTAAAAACATGCTTTAAATTTAAAAGAGTGATAAAACTACAATTTTCAATAAACTGAAAATATAAATGTGAATAAAAAACGATTGTTTTGTAATATTCTGGAAGGTACTTTACTGATACTTCCAAAAGACAGTTTACAGTACATACCGACTTTTTGAATAATTATTTTTTTCTTTTAATATTTATAACAATTACCAAAATTCTGTTCGAAAACCTTTTTCAGTATTATCCAGCACGGTCAGTCAGCACGACAGTTTTGAATTCATAGTCTTTTGCCTGTTTCCTAATAGCTTAAAACATAAAAAAATATATTTCACCTTAAAGAATTTTAATTTTTGCGAATGAGTTATTATTAATAAAGAACAAAAAAGCGTTAACGTCGGTTGTGCCCAAGCTATAATATCCTTCACATATACAAAACATTTCTTACAAGAACTTTGATCGGTCAGTTTATATGGCAACTACATGCTACAGTGACTCGATCTAAACAATTTCTTCGGAGATTGCATTATTGCCTTAGACAATAACTCATGCCAAATTTCGAGAAGATATCTCGTCAAATAACAAAGCATTCCATACAAGCACTTGATTGCGATCGTTCAGTTTATATGGCGGCTATATGCTATAGTGGTTCCGACTAATGAGCCGCTTCTTAGGGAGAAAAGGACGTATACAAAATCTCATATCGATATCTCAAAAACTGAGAGACTAGTTCGCGTATTTACAGATAGACGGACATGGCTAAATCGACTAAGCTCGCCATGCTGATCATTTACCTATATACATTTTATAAGGTCTCCGACGTTTCCTTTTGGGTGCTACAAACTTTGTGGCAAACTTAATATACCCTGTGCAGGGTATAAAAAGTAGACTACTACATTAATTTCAATTCCAAAATTCTTACTTTCTTTTCTTTAGAAGCAATATTTTGGTAGCAATTTCACTAATAAAGCTATAATGCAAATAATATTATTCCCAATTCAGTAAATAAAAATTCAATAATTCATAGTCATTAAAACATTCATTAAAGAAAATTTTGTATATAATTTCTGCGGCGAAATATTCGTTTTTATTACCGTTTTTAATTGTCAATAAAATTATATTTATTCCTCATTTGATTATCTGAATTCAGTGGTTTCCAGTTCAAACATAAAACCAATGCCAAAAAAAAATCTTTGCTTTTATGTAAATTGTTTCCCCCGAATATCTACTATTGTTAGAATTTTACAAAAATTAATAAAAATAATATGTAATAAAATACAAAATTATGAAATTTACTTAAATTTCGGTATTTCATTTTATATCTCATTAAAAAAAATAGTTTGAAGGCGATAATACATTTTATTCTTGCTTGTAACAGTTTGGAAACACTCCTGTGGCTTTAAAACTTTTGCAAAAAATTCAATTTCAATGGAAGTAACATTGAAATTGGTATATAATTTTTATATTTCTAACTGTATTTGAAAAGTTTAGCGAAAAAGATAATCTTTTAAACATTAATTGAAGATAAAATATCTCAAAGAACTAACAAATTGTAAAGCAAAATATCATTTGATATACGAAAAAGTCGTAGGCCTTTGAAAGCGTACATACCTATATATCATTTCGTGTAAATTATTACTGTCAAACAAATTCTTAAACACGATTTTGTTGTAAAATTTTCATCATCATTACTCAAAAATTATATTCTAAAAGTATTGATACGCTGTTTTCATCAGCACAGTCATTTGTGGAATGAAACAGTTGGAAAATGTAGAATCTCTTGAGCTAAACATATATATGTATATAATACATATTTTTTATGTGGTGGATTGCCATGGTGTCCACTCATCATTGAGCGATTTGACAGCTTGCCAAAAATGCAGATTCATAGACATATGTACACCACTTATGTATGATACCCATACATATGTATATAAATACATACACCTATGTGCAAATTTGTACATAAAAACATAAATATTTACCACTTACATATGTACTAATGTACATATACGTATATACATCTTTGAGAAAAATATTATGGTTCATGATTTCCCCACACCACTTAATCATCTCAAATGCCTTTGTGTATTGGTGTCAATGAGCTTTTTCGGATATTGCATTGCTCAGCGCTACAAGGTCGCTCTTGCCATTTGGCCGGTGACTGTTCGCTGCTGCCTGATAGCAATTGGCACTTGGCCATCGCTCATAAGCTGACCACACTTGGCACCAGCGCTGAATACTTTTATTAGCCATTTAAATCGGCACATAAGGATAATTGGTGACGAATGTGCAATTAAATGCAGTGCTGTCATAAATTTGTGCAATAAAAGTTTAGAATCGTTTATATTAATTGGAGCATTTTAATTTCTAAATCAAAATTTAATTCCTAAACAATAAAATATAGTATCTCCGTAAGAGCCAAAACTATGTGGTTTTTCTTTAGACACAGGAAAGTGTGATTAAAATATGATTTAGCCAAATTTATATTATTTTATTCTAGATTTAATCTTTATAAAACCAAATGAGCATTACAGCATTTAAAATATAATAATCGTATGTTATTTTCAAACTTAACGTTCAGATATAAATTTTTAAATTGGTAATAAATATATAATTTGCTTATAATGTCAAACGTAAAAAAATACGTGAATTTGATATAATTCCTAAACATTTTTTTTCACCTATCATTTACGGAAAATATTTTACTTATATCGAACACTCAAGTCAATAATAATATTCTTAATTAGGAGGTTATCCTAGCGAATTTGTTGAAATATAATAGATTTTTCTCATTCTACAAGTATACAGTTGCCAGAGAATTTTTTTTGTTATAATATTTTTTATGGATGTTCTTTCAGGCTTTTTGGCTAAAATTCTGTACCGATTAATTTTAAATAGTTTTTTTACGGGGAGAAAAGCCCGTGTACAAAATTTCCCATTGATACCTCAAAAACTGAGGGACTAATTCGCGTATATACAGACACAGATCGACATAGCTAAATTGACTCAGCTCGACACGCTGATTATTTATATTTATATTTATATTCGTGACAAACTTAATATACCCTATTCAGGGTAAAGTTATTAGTTTCCTTCTAACAGGTATTATAATATTCCCCTCCAGACTTTTATGACAGAATGCTTGAGTCAGAAAACAGACTGCATATGTTCGATGATTGTATTTGTATGAATAAATTACCGCAAGGTTCCATTAACCCAAAAGCATTTAGGCGAACAATTTACTGAATTACCGAAATCTACACTTAAATGGATAATTAGATAAGCTTCGAAGGTATTATTTTAAAGTACCGCATAGTTTATTTCATGTATATAATTAAAAAAAGTATATTATTATTATTCATTTAATAGGGATTTTTTGCAATTTAACCCGCAAAATCGATTAATTTATAATAATGAACGTTTTTTTCTAACAACGGTCGACAGACAATGGCAACCGGCGAAGCGTGCTCACTTTTCACAATTTTGATACCAACAAATTTATAATCATGCTATAAGATCAAGTCAGAACGAAGGACTTAGATTGTTAACCCCAAGAGAATATGTGAATAGCTCCTATTTAAATGAATGGTGTGTCGAATCAAATACACACGAATAAATTGGTAATTGATTCAATTTGTTTGTCCACAAGACATATGTTGGCTCAAAGTAAAGCGTTTTTAAGTTGCGTAGAAAATACAGGCATTAAAAAAGAAATAAAAATAACATAGTACAAACAAAGGAAAACTATTTTTAAAAATATGATATTAATGAGTTTGAACTACCTCAACTTTCCTTTATCTACAACTTAAAATTAAAATTTGTAAGGACTAGAGGTTATTATGTTAAGTATTTACGGTCATTATATGTAACAATATAACGAATTGGATATCTTTTAAATAAAAAAAAAATGTGTTATGATTATCTTCAAAAATTTGATTTGAAAAATATGTAAATACTTTTTTTATAACGGTCAATATTTTTATAGTTTAATTATTATTCAAAACTTTTTAAAAATCAACCAAAAAACAAGAAAACAAATTATAGAACTTATAAAATTTCTTTAGAAAAAAGTCCACTACGGAAAAATACCTAAAAATAGATCACATTCCACACGCCGACACACTTTCCTTCAACCACTTGACACACATATACTCACCATACCGGCGGCTATACGGTACCTCGTCAACTATTGGCCTGGCCCTTCACACCCAAAAAGCCATCAATCAGAAAAGTGGGTCAATACATTTGGTCACACTAAATAAACGCAGACAAAATAAAAATAGGAATCTTCAAAAAATGTAGAGAGAATAAGTTGAAAATAATCTCTGTATATATTGCTTTCATATGTTATATAGTCGACTCGCTCCAACACTCGCACTCTTAGATAAACGGGGAAATTTCCCACTAATATTAATCCGTATGAGCATATTACTCTTTTATGGGGTGGCCGACAGCTGTTAGCACCTGCGCGTTTATTGTTTTCAGCACGAGTATACGAGAGAGTTTGGGAGAGTGCGAGAGACTTGCAGATCAGCTGTTTCGAAGTCGAAATCTCCCACTATTATTTAGTGTGATATTTTGTCTATTTTTAAAAACGATTTTGTTTTTTAAATCGAAAAGAATAACAATAGCAGAAAGCCAAACTGCAATGAACTTTTTGGCAATCTAAAAAAATAACTCAGCGATGAGTCACAAATTGGAGAGGCTTCCGTTGGCAGTCTAAATATAAAACAAGATCAAATGAGGATAGTAAAAAATTGGCAAATATTGGCATTGGCAATCGAGAGCAACGCTGTTCGGGCCACTCGGACATTTAAAAGTACAATTTCAAGTTTTCGTGAGACCCTGCTCTCTTATTTACATATATATATATATATATATACTATATGGGAAAAACCATATAAATAATATGTATGTATATGTACTAAAAATTATTTAACAACCCTGCATTTGTGGAATTTTTTTTTTAATTTTCGTGTTCATATTTTGATTTGTAAACAGCTTTCAAATTTATTTTTTCAAAATTCTCCATTATTCTAAACATTCATTTCCCGGCACGTAAACAATAATTTTCAGTGAAATTTTTAAACAAGCTTTTAGAGCTTGTCCAAATTCTCAGTAAAGAATCGCAGCTTGCTAAATGATTCCATAATGAATAATGGTGCGCATTCTATTCGCAAATTTCTAAGAAAATATTTCAATTGCTTCTCTTGTAAGGATAATCCCACGATTTTTAAATAAAACTAATTGATTTCAACAATTCTCTATTCCGTTACAGTGCAACAACATGTTGGCGCAGACGGTGCCTACACTCCGCCCGCACTGACTCACGTCTACGGTCAAGGCGATATTTCACCACCGATCTTCGAACAAATTTTCAAGAATGCCCGTTTCGCTCAGGGCGGCAACGCCCTGTTCGAGGGCAAACTCCGTGGCAATCCAAAGCCATTCGTTTCTTGGACCCGAAAAGGCGCACCACTTCTCGAGTCGCAAAAGTTTCGTATGAGCTACAATGAGGCCACCGGTGAAGTGTCGCTATTGATTAATCAAATCGGACCGGGTGATGAAGGTGAATACACGTGTACGGCACGTAATCAATATGGCGAGGCCATATGTAGTGTTTACATTCAGCCAGAGGGTGCACCAATGCCTGTACTGCAGCCTGTGCAAAAATTCGAAAAGTCATTGTATACCAACGGCTATTCGTATACTTCCGTCGAGGAGGAGTTCCGTGTCGATACATTTGAGTATCGTTTGCTACGTGAAGTGCAATATCGTGAAGCTATTACACGTCGTTCGGCATACGAGCAGGACCAATATTTGACGCAAGAATTGGATCGTACCATGGGTCCAGCACATGCGCCACAAATTAATCAGAAACCACGCAACTCGAAACTTATTGAAGGTTCTGATGCTGTTTTCAGCGCTAAGGTTGGCTCTAATCCCAAGCCACGCCTAACTTGGTTCCATAATGGACAACGTCTGGTAGCATCGCAAAAATATGAGACCACTTATTCCAGTGGTATAGCAACGTTGCGTGTTAAGAATGCCACCTACCAGGATGCTGGTCATTATACACTGCTCGCCGAGAATACACAAGGTTGTGTAGTCTCCTCGGCCGTTTTGGCTGTCGAACCAGCTACCGAAACCGCACACGAACCGAAGCCAGTCGATGTGACGGCTGAGCAATTGGAAGCTGGTAAAGCCTTACCACCCGCTTTTGTCAAGGGATATACTGATCGCGAGGTCACCGAGGGACGCATGACACGTTTCGATTGTCGTGTAACTGGTAATCCCTATCCTGAGGTTATTTGGCTTATCAACGGTCGTCCAGTCAAAGACGATGTGTCACATAAAATACTTGTCAACGAATCTGGTAGCCACTCGCTGATGATTACCAGTGTTAGCCGTTTGGATACTGGCGCAGTACAGTGTTTGGCCCGCAATAAGGCTGGTGAAGTTGCCATCGAAGCGCAATTGAATGTGTTGGAAAAGGAGCAAGTTGTCGCACCACAGTTTGTTCAACGCTTCAGCACAATGACCGTACGTGAAGGTGAACCCATTACCATGAGCGCCAATGCCATTGGCACACCCGTTCCACGTATTACATGGCAAAAGGACGGTGTGCAGATTACATCGACTGCTGAACGTTATATCGGTATTGATGGTGGCGCTACATGCTTGGAAATTCCACGCGTTAAAGCCACCGATGCCGGCTGGTATCAGTGCACAGCACAAAATATTGCCGGTTCGTCTGCGAATCGTGCTAGACTCTATGTAGAAGTACCTAGAGAACAACCAACTCCTGAGCAAAGACGTCTCAATTTGCCGCGACCAACGAAAGTCATCGAACCAGAGTGAGTATTAAAATTCCAACACATACCAATACATATATCTCGCAATATCTTAATTTTGTCACTTTCTTCTCACAACACTAAAGGCACGTGCCTGGTCCAGAGATAATTTACTTACGTCATGTAGAACGCGCAAAGCCACACTTGCGCCCTGGTGAGGAAGATCGTGTCTACCCACCACCACAATTTATTATACCATTGCAAAATGTGCAACAAGTCGAGGGTAATAGAGTGCATATGGAGGCACGCATCGAACCAGTTGGTGATCCAACTATGGTCGTAGAATGGTACCTAAACGGGCAACCATTGGCAGCAAGTAAGTTAACAGCATACAACCGAAATTCATTGTTTCTGATACTAATCTAACTTTCCCTGTCTCATGTAGGCTCACGCGCTACCTCTGTATTTAAGTTTGGTTTCATAGCGCTCGATCTTTTGAGCATTATGACACACGACTCCGGTGAGTACATGTGTCGCGTCACCAATGCGGCCGGTGTTGCCGAATCCCGTGCAATTCTCTCTGTCATCCAACGTCCCTCTATCGAGCAAAGCTCTCAGAATCCAAATAGTTTGCAATATATCAATCAGTTGGAGGATTACTCGCGCTATCAGCGCCAGGAGAGCTCTGAGGAACTCATGAAGCAAGCTCCCGTATTTATTCGTCCATTAAGAGATTTGGGCGAATTTGAGGAGGGTAAAAATGTGCACTTTGAAGCTCAAATTACGCCGGTTAATGATCCCACCATGCGTGTTGAATGGTACAAAGATGGCCGTCCAATAACTGCTAGCTCGCGAATCACTGCAATCTTCAACTTCGGCTACGTCTCCCTAAACATCTTGCACCTACGGGCTGAAGATGCTGGTTCGTATACAGTGCGTGCAGTTAATCGCGTGGGCGAAGCCACAAGTACTTCGAACATTCGTGTGATTATACGTTCCGAAGTAACCGCCGACTTGGGCATACCCGAACAACAACGTTATATTGAGAAGGTTGAAGAGCTGGAAGACTATAGGAAATCTCAGCAACGTCGTCATGTACAGGAGGTGCCTGAACCAATTGCACCACCACAATTCAAAAGTCCAATCCAAAATCAATTGGACATACGTGAGGGCGCACACGCTCACTTTGAGGCACGTCTTGAGCCCATCGGTGATGCTACTATGCGTGTGGAATGGCTGAAGGATGGCCAGCCACTAGAAGCTAGCTCACGTAGCACAACCTTCTTCAACTTTGGCTATGTTGCACTAACCATTAAGCAACTGACAATTTACGATGCCGGCACTTACACTTGCCACGCTTACAATGCCATCGGTCAAGATACAACCACCGCACAATTGACCGTTCTTTCAAAGAAGGATATCGTCTCCGACTCTCAACATCCCGGTGGTTTGGAAAAGCTACAGCACTTGGAGGACTCAACGCGTTACGGACGCACTGAGGAAGAAGAGACCAAGGTTACACAAATTCCACGCTTCCTTGGTCCAATGAAGGGCACCAACAAAATTTTGGAGGGCCAGCGAGCTCACTTCGAGGCACGCGTTGAGCCACAAAGTGACCTTAGCTTGCAAATTGAATGGTATCACAATGGGCGTGCCATTAGCGCAGCCACACGTATACAAACCTACCACGACTTTGGTTATGTGGCTCTAGATATCTCACAAGTACGTGCCGAAGATGCAGGCGTGTACACTGTTGTAGCCAGAAATAAGTTAGGTGAAGCACAGTTGCAAGGAACAATGGTAGTAGAAAGTAAGTTAAAACTCCCCTCAAAAATGTCCAAATGATCTAATAATATTTTTCGCTATTTCACAGCTCGTTCCAGCATAGACACATCTAGCATGCACCGCGGTCTTTACGAAAAGACTCAAAACTTAGAAAACAAACCATTTGTTGAACCTCACTATGACATCGAAGAGATTTCCAAGTCGAAGCCGATCTTCGTGCAACCACTCTCCGATCACAAACCGATTCACGAAGGCAAAAATATACATTTGGAATGCCGTCTGGAGCCAATGGGTGACCCAACTATGCGTGTTGAGTGGTTCCACAATGGCCGCCCCATTACCGTAGGCTCACGCTTCCGCACCTACTACGACTTCGGTTTCGTCGCATTGGATATTGTACAGGCCATCGCAGCCGACTCGGGCGAATATACCTGCCGCGCCACAAATCATTTGGGCTCAGCGCACACCTCTTCCTGTGTACGTATTATTGATCGCTCGGATGTTGTGACCGAAACACAAAACGAAATGTCACTGGAGCAAATACACCAACTGGAAGACTCGACACGTCGTCGTCATCATGTCGAAGAAGACATCACTGTTATGCAGGCGCCACAATTCACACGTGCACTGCATAATATCGAAACTGTTGAGGGCACCAATGTACATTTGGAATGCCGCTTGCAGCCGGTGGGTGATCCCAGCATGCGCGTTGAGTGGTTCGTTAATGGTAAACCCATTAAAACCGGTCATCGTTTCCGTCCAGCATATGAGTTTGACTATGTTGCGCTCGATTTGCTCGGCTGCTATGCCGTTGATTCAGGTGTGTATACCTGCCAGGCACGTAATCAGCTTGGTGAAGCCGTTACCTCATGCTCAGTACGCATTATTGCTAAGAGCGATCTAATCTTGGAGACACAGAACGAATCTGGTCTACAGAAGATTGCTTATTTGGAAGATTCATCACGTTATCGCCGTAGCGAATTTGTTGATGAGATAGTTAATGTGCGTCCACGTTTCCTAACACACCCCAAGAGTCTGACCAATACACGTGAGGGTGGTCATGCTCATTTCGAATGTAAAATCGAACCTGTCACCGATCCGAACTTAAAGGTTGAGTGGTTTAAGAATGGTCGTCCCATCACAGTTGGTCATCGCTTCCGTCCCATCCATGACTTTGGTTATGTAGCTTTGGACATTGTTGATTTAATTTCTGAGGATTCTGGTATTTACACTTGCCGTGCCGTCAATTTGATTGGCTCCGATGAGACGCGGGTAGAATTGCAATGTCGCAGCAGTGAACAAATTGTTACTGTTACACAAAATGAAGCCGGTCTCGAGCAGATCCATTATTTGGAGGATCGTTCGCGCTATTCACGTCGTGAAGAAATCGATGAAACCACCAAACAAGCGCCAGTCTTTACCACTTCCCTAAAGAATGTCGAAATCAAGGAAAATCAACGCGCACATTTCGAATGTCGTTTGATTCCGGTGTCGGATCCAACAATGCGTGTCGAATGGTATCACAATAACTTGCCATTGAAATCTGGCTCGCGCTTTACTGAAACCAACAACTTCGGTTTCGTAGCTTTGGATATTATGTCCTGTTTGCCCGAGGATGCCGGCACTTACACTTGCCGTGCATTCAACGCTGTCGGTGAAGCCATAACCTCAGCTGTCGCTATTGTTCACACCAAAAAATCCATCTACTTGGAATCGCAACATGAGAGCGCTCTGCCACGTCTACAACATTTGGAAGATGGCGCTAAACGTCAACGCATCAGCGTACAAGACGAGGTTGTTAACCAGGCACCAGTTTTTACTTTGCCTGTGCGCGATGTACGCGTCGCCGAAGGTCAAGCTGTACACTTTGAAGCACGCTTGATACCTGTTGGTGATCCACATCTGAAGGTTGAATGGTTGCGAAATGGACAACCCATTGAAGCTTCAAACCGTACCACCACAATGCACGATTTTGGTTATGTTGCTTTCAATATGAAATATGTGAATCCCGAAGACTCAGGCACTTACACTTGCCGTGCTGTAAACGAACTCGGCCAGGCTGTTACCTCAGCTTCGCTCATTGTACAATCGAAGACTTCGATTCAAATGGAAACTCAACATGAGGCGGCTATGCATAAGATACATCAGCTAGAAGACCACACCAGGTATCAACGCCGCGAAGAGGAAGAATATGTGGTTAGCCAACCACCACGTTTTGTCACGAAACTAATTGGTCCCACCAACTTGGTTGAAGGTCAGAGCGCGCACTACGAATGCCGCATTGAACCATATCCCGATCCCAATCTCAAAGTGGAATGGTTCCACAACGGCAAGGCGTTGAGCACAGGTCATCGCTTCCGCACCACTTACGACTTTGGTTTTGCCGCTTTGGATATCCTTACCGTTTATGCTGAAGATAGTGGCGAATATACGTGCCGTGTTACCAACAACTTGGGCGAAGCTGTCAACTCTATTAACCTCAATGTACAATCGAGGTCAGGCATCATTCGCGAAACACAACACGAGGAAGCTTTGCAAAAGATCCAGCACTTGGAAGATGAGTCGCGCTATCAACGCAAGGTCGAAGAAGATCAATTCCTGGCCGAACGTCCACAATTCGGACGTCCACTGCGCAACGCAAATGTCAATGAAGGCACACCCGTACATCTGGAAGCCACCTTAACACCAGTTAATGATCCTACCATGAAAGTGGAATGGTATTGCAATGGCACGCCCATTCAAACTGGTCATCGTTTCAAGACCACATACGATTTCGGCTTCGTCGCTTTAGATATTTTATATACACATGCTGAAGATACAGGCACTTACATGTGCAAGGCTAAGAATGCCGTAGGGGAAGCTGTCACGACTTGTGCTGTAAACGTAACAGGTAAGCGTCGATAACATGCACAATGAGCTCATTGTAAAACATCTAATTTATTTACAGCAAATAAGACATTGGACTTCGACACTATGGATGCCCAGCGTTTGGAGAAGATTCGTCAACTTGAGAATTATGCACCACCTACTAAAGCCGTTGTGGAAGAAAAGGGTCAGAAACCAATATTCTTAACTCCGCTCAGCAACTTGGAACATCTCAAGGAAGGCGAACATGGTCATCTGGAGTGTCGTGTCGAACCAATTAATGACCCTAACTTGAAGATTGAATGGTTCTGCAATGGCAAACAATTGCCAACTGGTCATCGCTTTAGAACTACACACGATTTCGGTTATGTCGCTTTGGATATATTGTATGTCTATGGGGAAGATACTGGCACCTACATGTGCAAAGCCACCAATTTGCTTGGTGAGGCTGTCAACACCTGCAATGTGCGTATATTGAACCGACGCAGCATGATTCTGGACACACAACATCCAGATGCTTTGGAGAAAATCCAAAAATTGGAGTCCAAGTCGGCACCGGCACGCACTGAACCTGGCGATTTGCCTATCGGTCCACCGCACTTCACAGTCGAACTGCGCGGCACCACCGAGATCTTTGAAGGTCAAACTGCGCATTTTGAGGCACAGGTTGCTCCCGTTCATGATCCCAATTTGCGCATTGAGTTCTATCACAATGGCAAACCACTGCCATCGGCTTCACGCTTCCACATTACTTTCGATTTCGGTTATGTTTCATTAGATGTCACACATGCTGTGCCAGAAGATGCTGGTGAATACTCTGTACGTGCTATCAACAATATGGGTCAATGCGTTTCTTCGACTAGCTTGAAAGTCAATGCACGTGGCACTATTATTTCGGAAACTCAACATCCTGAAGGTTTGGAGAAAATTCGTAAACTCGAATCGAATGCTCCATTCCAACGTCCCGAAGTAGAAACACCTGGCACCCGTCAACGCCCAGTGTTTACTCAACCACTGCAAAATATCGATCGCATTAATGAACATCAAACTGCACACTTCGAATGCCGCCTTATACCGGTTGGCGACCCAAATCTGAAAGTGGAATGGTACCGCAACGAGAAGATCATCGAGGATAGCTCGCGCATCACCAAACAACATGACTTCGGTTTTGTCTCTCTGGATATTTCCCATATTCGCAAAGAAGATGAAGGTGTCTACATGTGTCGCGCTGTTAACCCATTAGGTGAAGCAGTCACTACCGCTTCTATGCGTGTAGTTTCCGAAGCCTCCATCCAAATGGATACCCAACATCCGGATAGTATCAGCCGTATTCATCAACTTGAACGCCCATCAGTACCACGTGCTGAAGAACCAGAGCGTGCTTTCGAGAAACCAATATTCACGCAATTGCTTACTGGCCCATCTGAGTTATGGGAGGGTCAACATGCACACTTCGAGGCACGTGTTGTACCAGTTGGTGATCCATCACTGAAATTCGAATGGTATATCAACGGTGTTGAGCTGCAAATGGGCTCACGTCTGCGCACCACACACGATTTCGGTTTCGTTACACTCGACATTAACGCAGTGGTACCTGAGGACGCTGGTGTATACATGTGCCGCGCGTATAACGCTGCCGGTGAAGCCGTCTCCTCTACCGCTATGAAAGTTAAAACTAAAGCTAACATTGCCGGCGAACCTTTGATTCCCGAATCGTGGGAAGCCATTCGCCTGAAGGAGGCGTCCATGAATCGTGTGCCAGAAATGTTTGTAGACACAACACCACAACAGGCACCAGTCTTCACTACACACTTACAAAGCTACGATAAGCTCTCAGAAGGACAACATGTACTGCTCGAAGCTCAAGTTGAGCCACGTGCCGATCCAAACTTGCGTATTGAATGGTTCAAAAATGGTATTTCACTTACCACCGGTTCTCGTATACGCAGCACTTTCGACTTTGGCTTGGTTACACTATCGGTTAATGGATTACGTGCGGATGACTCCGCCATTTACACTTGCAAGGCCACGAACCAAATCGGTGAAGCCGTATCGACATGCAGCCTTAAGATTGAAGATCGTCATTGGTTGCAAGGTGAGTCGCTACATCCAGACTCTCTGTCGCGTATTGGAGAATTGGAAGCACCCAAACCAGGACGCCCTGAGGCTCCAGAACCTGCTTATGAAGTGCCTGTGTTCACTACTCATTTGAATAATATCGAATGTAAGGAGGGTGATAATGTACGTTTCGAATCGATGGTCGAACCCTCCCGTGACCCAACGATGCAAATCGAATGGTCCTACAATGGACAACCACTACAAGCTGCCGCTAAATTTAAGTCAATTTATGACTTCGGCTACTGTGCTTTGGACTTATCGAATACCTATCCAGAGAATAGTGGTGTCTACACGCTCAAGGCAACAAATAGCAAAGGTTCAGCCACCACATCTGGCACACTCAAGTGCACAGGCGGTAAGACCTTTTTCTTGGATACCCAACATCCACAAGGTGAAGCCGGTTTGGAGGCTGTGAGGGAAACTGAAGAAGAATTGGCCAATCGTTATTCACGCCAAGTTTCGAAACCCGAAACCCAATATCCAGCGCCGATTTGGACGAAACCATTGCAAGCTGAGTTCCATCTTTCAGAGGCACAATCCTTGCATTTGGAGGGTAATGTTGAACCTAAAGAAGATCCTAACCTCTTCATTGAATGGTACTTCAACGGCAAGATTCTACAACATGGCTCACGTTTCAAGATGACTAGTGAATTCGGTTTCGTCACTATGGACTTAACTGAAGTATACGAACGCGATCAAGGTATTTACACTTGCAAGGCATACAATAAGGCCGGCGAAGCCTTTACCACCACCACCATTTTCTGCACCAGCAAGGAAAGCATTATCGAGAAGACACAGCATCCAAAGGGTGCCGAAGGTTTGGAACAAATTCAAGATTTGGAAGAGTCACTCCGTAAGGATGGCACAAAACCAGAGAAACCAGAAGAAGGTATGGCTCCACGCTTCACCACCGAATTCATTGACATCAAGGATGTTGGTGAGGGTGAGATTGCGCACTACGAAGCCAATCTTATACCGACTGGTGACCAAAGTATGGTCATTGAGTGGTTCTACAATAGTAAAGTTTTGGAGGCTAGTCATCGTGTACGCACCATCTATGCTTTCGGCATGGTCGCTTTGGAAATTCTTGGTACCAAGATTGAAGACTCAGGCACCTACACTTGTCGTGCAACCAATAAATATGGCAGCGCCGAAATTAGCTGCGTTTTGGAATGTGTTGAGAAGCCACGTGGACAGAAACCACGTTTCACTTCACACATCCAATCATTGGAAGGACTCAAGGACGGACAGTCGGCTCACTTCGAGTGCACACTCATACCAGTCAATGATCCTGAACTTAAAGTTGAGTGGTATCACAATGGTAAACTTTTACGTCACTCCAACCGCATCAAGACCGTATCCGATTTCGGCTATGTTGTTTTGGATATTGCTTATTTGCAAGACCACGACAGTGGTGAGTACATGTGCCGCGCCTACAATAAGTATGGTGAAGATTTCACACGCGCTACACTCAACTGCGGTGGTCGTGGTGGCGTCTTCTATGACAGTTTGCAGCCCGATTCACTGCCAAGAATTCGTGAACTTGAATGTCCACAAGGACAACAGGGCGATACCAGTGCACCAGTGGTTGCCGAACCACCCAAATTTATTACACAAATTGCGGATATCACAAAACTGGTTGAGGGACAGAGTGCGCACTTTGAAGCACGTCTTACACCAGTCACCGATCCAGATCTTAAGGTCGAATGGTATTTCAATGGTAAAAAGTTACCACATGGTCATCGTTTCCGCACTTTCCACGATTTCGGTATTGTAATATTGGACATTTTGTACTGTTACGAAGAAAACTCAGGTGTATATGAGTGCCGCGCCGTCAATAAGTACGGCGAAGACGTAACACGCGCCACACTGAAGTGTACTTCCAAGGCCAACTTGATTCTGGACTCACAACTGCCACGCGTAAGTATTTCAAAACACTTTTCTTTTGAGGAGTACAAAATAATCACTCCCTCATTTATTTCTATTCACTTTCACAGGGCATGGAAGGCGGTTTGGAGAAGATCGCTAACCTGGAATACAGCATGGTTCGTACACGCGACGAAACTGTTGAAGAGAGCAAGGGCAAAGCACCTGTTTTCACCGTACCACTCGAAAATATCGACAATCTGCGTGAAGGTGAGAATGCTCACTTCGAAGCACGCGTCACACCGACCGACGATCCACGCTTGCGCGTTGAATGGTTCTGGAATGGACGTCCACTTAAAGCTGGCTCACGTTTCCGCACATTTTGTGACTTCGGTTTTGCCATTCTGGAGATCTCGCCTGTTTATCCCGAGGACTCTGGCGAATATTCTTGCCGTGCTATCAACGAATACGGTGAGGCTGTGACCACTGCCACCATGAAGATACAAGGTAAACGTAGCATTATTATGGAATCTCAACTGCCCAAGGGTATGGAGGGTACCATTGATCGTATTGCCGAACTTGAGGGTCTCGGTGGGCGTAGCACAGAATTCGTGCCCGAAGATGATAGTGGCAAGCCACCAGAATTTATTACAACACCTTTTGATATGGTCATCACTGAAAATTCGCTGGCGCACTTCGAATGCCGCTTGCAACCGGTTAATGATCCAAGCATGCGCGTCGATTGGTTCCACAATGGTAAAGCTTTGTGGGCTGGTTCGCGCATCAAGACAATCAATGATTTCGGTTTTGTGATTTTGGAAATTGCCGGTTGTTATCAACGTGATAGTGGTTTGTATACTTGCAAGGCCACCAATAAACATGGTGAAGCGACAGTTTCATGCAAACTGCAAGTAAAAGGCCGTCAAGGCATCATTGTTGAACCACAATTGCCTTCAAACTTCCGCACAGGCACCGAAAGCTTGCAGAAATTGGAGGAGAGTATGCATAAACGTGAAGAAATCATCATCGATGAGGAGCAACCAAATCCACCTAAATTTACTGAGGATATTAAGGATAACCTCGATGTGCCCGAAGGTGGCCCAATACACTTCGATTGCCGTGTTGAACCAGTTGGCGATCCAACAATGCGCATTGACTGGTTCTACAATGGACGTCCTATGCCCACTGGCTCTCGTGTACATCAACTAAACGATTTCGGCTTTATCGCTTTGGACATCGATTACATTTATGTACGTGATGCTGGTGAGTACACTTGCCGCGCTACCAACAAATGGGGCACAGCTACCACCACTGCCAAGGTTACTTGCAAGAGTAAGCATAGCATTGTGTACGATACACAATTGCCTGATAGCATGACCGCCGAAAAGTTGAAGGAACTCGAACGTGGTCGCATACCCGATGTACCCAGGATTGAGGAACCCGATTTCGGTCCACCAGAATTCATTACGGAAATTCAAAATGTCACTGCTGAAGAATCTGAAGCTATGCGCTTCGAATGCCAAGTGGAACCGAAGACCGATCCCAATTTACGTGTGGAATGGTATCGCAATGGCAAGTTATTACCAAGCGGTCACCGTTATAGAACTATTTTCGATATGGGCTATGTATCGCTCGATATTCTCTATGTTTATTCTGAAGACTCTGGCGAATATGTTTGTCGTGCGGTGAACAAACACGGCGAGGCACGCACCAAGGCGACAGTTTCATGCAAGAGTAAGTAATCACCTTAGAAAATTCCATGAAAATTATTATAATAACAATTACTTATCTGCTTACAGAACTACCAACAATTATGCTGCAAAACCAAGTGCCACGTGGCATGAAACGCAATGAAACACTCACTCAAATGGAGGCCACCATTAAGAAATATACTTCAGAGGTGCATTTGACTGAGGATGATCTCTTCGATCCGGATCGTAAGCAACCACCTCGTTTCGTTACACAAATCAAGGATCAGACCTCGCTTACCGAGATGGCAACCACCAAATTTGAATGTCAATTGGCGCCAGTTGGTGATCCAAACATGAAGGTTGAATGGTTCTTTAACGGCAAGCCATTGTTGTACAGTGAGTATCAGCTTTAGAGAATTCAAAACTTATACAGGTTTCTCTAACTTATTTCTTTGAAACTCGCAGAGAATCGCTTCCAACCCATCTACGATTTCGGTTATGTAGCCATGAACTTTGGCTGGGTCTATCCAGAGGACAGCGGTGAATATGTGTGCCGTGCGACCAATCTCTATGGCAAGGATGAGACTCGCGCTTTCATTAAGGTCTCTGGCAAGCCTGGCATTGTCTATGACTCACAGCTGCCAGCTCATATGCAGGAGACATCTATTCAGCGCATACGTGAAATGGAAGCTTCGTGGCAAGTGTAAGTACCGTTCGTTAATTGAATTTTGATTTTTTTTTTATAAAAACTGTTAGTTTATAAACAGTAAAGATGTTAATAGTTGCCACCTTTTCTAACATATTTATTATTATACTTATATATTAAACAGTGAAGTAGTCAATTATAAAACTGATTTTATGTAGGTAGGTACTTGACGGGAAGAAACTTTATAGAATTTCTGTAATTAATAATCTAAAAAATTTAAGGTTGCCATTCAATTTATTTTAATACAGGTTTATATTATTATTAATTAAAAGTCATCACAATATGCAAATACAGAGTTACAACATCGATATTTATATTAGCAATGCATTTAACTAGGAAAAAGTGTTGCCATATTTTTAATAAAAATTTATAATATTGAATTTTATAATAATTAACGCATTAAATTTCATTACCAATAAAATTCGTTATGAAATTACAAATAAAATATATCAGTCTGGCAATACTATTTTTAAATTTCAATTATGAAATGTACATATTTAATTTCTAATATAATATTATATAATATATGCTACACAATATTGAGCCAAGCGATTTCTTCAATTAATCGTACCCAATATTCGCTCATATTTTCAATTACAATAATCATTTAGCAGAGTTGCCATATCTTTTCAAAAATATAAATGAAAAACACAAATTTTGACACTAAATTTTTAGAGTACTAAATTTATTATCGCTATACCACGAAATCGACAGAGTCGAAAAATTTAATTACAAAAAAACAGTGTGATTTTATAAAATTTGTGGTTTGTAATCATTCAAAGAAGCTTAGCATATTATTACCAGTTAATGAGATAGGAAATTCTAAGAAAACCTTTTAAAATTTTACAAAAAGTAATAATTTTATATAATTTCGTTATCAAAATATTTCTACAGCGTACCAGAAGAGGTCGATCCTGATGCAAAACCAAGAGCCAAACCGACTTTCGTTAGCAAATTGGAACCACAGACCGTTGAGGAGGGCGAACCCGCACGTTTCTGTGTACGCGTAACTGGCCATCCACGTCCCAGAGTTATGTGGCTCATCAATGGACACACCGTTGTGCATGTAAGTCACCACAAAAACCAAAATTAACAATTATAATATCAAATACTAACTGAAATTCTTTCACCAACAATCAGGGCTCACGTTACAAACTAACGAACGATGGAATGTTCCATTTGGATATTCCAAAAACACGACAATACGACACAGGCAAAGTGGAAGTGATCGCTAGAAATTCCGTTGGTGAATCGATCGCCACCACCGAACTGAATGTGGTCGAACGTTCAGACGATTATCGCGGTGTATTGAAGAATTCACCACGTCGTAAGTACACGCTGGATACCTTATGTACATTTACTTACATAGCACTACAGAAATTAACACAACTACTCTTAGCTTTTCTAATACGAAATTAGTTTATAAAAAAAATATATAAAAAAACATATATTTTTTTAAACACTAGACTAGTCAGTTATGCACTCCAAAAACAATAACAAAAAGACTTTTATAAATATATATACCTATACTTATATACTTTACTTATATATGTATATATACGCATTTATTTTTCGATACTCACAAACGAATGTAGTTTATAGGTGTTCTCTTTTAAAACAAATTCAAATTTACTACTTTTTCAATAACAAAAAATACATTAAGCATTGTATATATACATAAACATTTTCACCACTGCCACAACCAAAACTACCACTGTAACCATATTTTATTATACCAAAATACACGCTAAAAATATATTTAAAGCATTAGGTAATCGTAAATTTTAAAGTTAAACGCATATAGGAGATTTTTCAAAATGATAACGGTACAAAACCAGCATTATTTCAAAACCTTTCAATTACAAACTTAAGACTCTTTCCAAGTCCACAAACAATTATTGCATTTGTGATACTGAAACAATACTTCAGAGTACAACCACGACCTTACTTATTTTGTTCTAAAACAATTTTAAAATATTTCCGAACAACTCGACACAAATTTTCTATATAAGACTTATATATACTCTATACAAAAAATATTTATTTCTAAATATCGTATAAGACAACTCAAAACTCCAATTTAATACTCACTAACGAGTTCCTTTTTACGGTGGTTCTCTCGACAAAAAATACAACACCAAAACCCAAAGCTTAAGCAATATTTCAACAATTTTCGAAACAGCGAAATCTAGTTAGATATTATTTAAATATTTACATGCACACTCAAAACCTTATGATATACCCAATACCTGAAAACAATCCCTATTCATACCTATTCCCCTCCTAAATGCCAAATATCCTGACATTCCTTCTCCGAGAAAATCCACAAAAAATCACACATCCAAGCTGCTTTCTATCCACGAAGTACTACCACTCCAGCCTGCTGACGCTTTTGGATGAGCGCAACGTCTATAGCTGACTTAATGCGGAGTTTCGATGCAACGCTAAGGTTTATAAATCTATACTCTGTGTCATTAAAAACAGTACTTTTGTAAATGTTTATGTAATAAGTGTTTTGTTTAGTGTATAATCAGTGAGTATTTTGAGTTTAACATAACGTTTGCAGTGTACTGTAGAGATTTTTAAAATACTGTTGCTTGATTTAGTATAATTTTTGAAAATCACAAAATTGTTGCAAGAGTTCGCTCATGCACTCTCTGTCTTAATCCTTCACTTTGCTTTACACAAACTCTGTCTCTATCGCTATCTCTCTTTACTGTGTGCTCGATCAGTGTCAGTTGTACTACCTTTCTATATCTTTTAAATATTTTTGGATATTTTCCAAATCATTTAATTTAACCTTGTGCATTTATTATTCACAAATTTATAAAAAACCAAAAAAATGTATCACTTGAAGATCTCTCTTTATCTTAACATCTGCCTCAACTCCATTGAAGGCTTAAAGCATGTTGTCTCTGAACCATAAATCACCAAATCACAACTCGTCTTTCAACTTTTTATATTCAAATAATTTGCTTGTGTTTTGCATGACTTCGTTTATGATTAATTTACGAATTATCATTAGCTGTCTTCGATTCGCCAGCACTTGGAGAGTGACGAATCGAATAGGCAACTCGCATAAAACGAACAAACTACCATAGCTTAAAAGATAATTATATTGTTTTAATAAGATAGCAAGTTGATCAATGGCAATTCGATGCCGGCTATTCTTCATTAAAAAAAAAAATGGGGTCAATGTGATCAAAAAGCTAGTGAAAAAGATTGATTTGCCTTTACAGAAAACAATTCTTTAAAAAAATTTTTGATCTGAAATCAAACTTAATATAAAATAGCGATCAATATATATTAATACCAGTAAAAATGTAGACTTAGAGGTTTAAGAAACCACCTATATTTCGAAAAGTCTGAATGTGAGCAGATAGTGCAGTCCAAAGGATCCAAACTTTTTTTTTTTAAGAAAATATGTTTATTAAACACTAACTGCTTTAAAAATATTGTATTAGACTCTAATATTTAATATTTTCTTCTGAGAGGGCTTTAAGTAGCCAGCGTCAGCCGGCATATTTTTCAAGAACAAAATTAGCTCTTATCGAAGTGTCATGATACTGATTATGCCTGTGACTATACGAACTTACTGATATACTCGGATCTCAGAAGCACTTGTGGTGTTCAGAATCAACAGATTACTTTCACAAGCTTTGTATGTATATACTTTTAAAGTTTTCTAAATTCCGAAAACAAATTTTCCGAAAACACAAAACGTATTTATATCCTGAATATAGTTTTGCAACCACTAAATGACAATCTTTCAGGGACTAAGGAAATTTATATACCTTTTTGGATCTCATCTCACCTGTTGAGCTTTCAAGTTTGAGAGAATTCGCCGATTGACTAATTTCGGTATCCAGTAAACCCTTTAATGCTAAAAGCAACCTGATATCTGAAAAAAGTTACTTCAAAATGATTATAAAATCTTGGAAATCAAAACATATGCATGATCCAAAAATCATAACCTGCAAATAAATTTTCTGATCTCTAACATTAAACTTGAAAGCTCAAAATTAGGCTTTTAACGTCAAAGTATTTATAAAAAGTATGCATGCTCGTTCCAAATTAGTTTTTAAACGGCAAATGTTTCTAAACCAGGTAAGCTCCAATTTGTTAGAACCGTCCTTGAATCGCTAAACGTAAATTAGTAAAATGTATATTTTAGTTTATTTCGCCTAAAGTTTTACTACCACTTTTTACGTATTTCTAAGTATTGCTTTATAACTGTAATTTATATATATATATACCCACAAGAGTAAAGACCAAAACCTTTATTCACCGAATCCACTACTCTTCCTGCCTACAGCTTGGTATGATTATGAGCTAACTGCTTATCAGAAAGAACGTCAAGAAACTGAGCTGGAGAAGATATTTGATGAGCGCAAACAATATTTGGCCGATCAAGGTAAACCTCTAAAGGGTGTCGAACACCTGAAACCCAAGCAAATCAAAACCGAAACACCCGACTGGCAACAAACCGTCAATGCCAAACGCAGCGAGGATTACTATAGTAAATTGCAAGAACTAGAAACCGAGCAATTGCTGAAGGAGACCAATTTGCGCAAGGAAACACATCAATATGCGATACCTGGCGAGAAAGTTGTGCAGAGTTCTGCTGCCAAGGGCATGGCCAAGTCCTACGAGGACAATCTGTAAGTCTACAAAATATAAATTTCGCTTTCAATTGCGCTTTACTAAGTATCTGCCCTTCATACATTTTTATTTTTAGGGAAGAGCAATCCACAACAACAACAACAGCTGCTAAGAAGGTTGTAAAGAAACCACCAGTTGAACCTGCTGAATCGTCGGTGCATGGACGCGAAGTGATCATGAATAAACAACAACAAACACAGAAGGAAGTTGTTGGCGATTTGGAAATTACACGCAAGATTACTGCTACCGAAACTACGGAAATGGAGCATAAGGGCACCGTGCAGGAGCGCGTTGTCAAGGGACCCGTACAACCCTCGAAACCACCAGTGTTCACCAAAAAGATACAACCATGCCGCGTGTTTGAAAACGAGCAGGCCAAATTTGAGGTCGAATTCGATGGTGAACCAATGCCCACCGTCAAGTGGTACCGTGAAAACTTCCCCATCAAGAATTCACCAGATTTACAAATTCACACCTTCAGCGGTAAATCCATACTGATCATACGACAGGTGTTCGTCGAAGACTCGGCCGTATTCTCATGTATTGCCGAGAATCGTGGAGGCACTGCTAAGTGCAGCGCCAATTTGGTGGTCGAGGAACGTCGTCGTGCCGGCAAAGGTGGCCTAACACCACCTAGCTTTGTGAATGTGATTCAAAGCACCACTGTTTCTACTGGACAATTGGCACGTTTCGACGCCAAGGTAACCGGCACACGACCAATGGATGTCTATTGGTTGAAGAATGGACAGAAGGTACAGCCAAGCATTAAATTTAAAATGCTTGAAGAGGACAATGTTTACACGCTACTCATTATCGAGCCATTTGCTGAAGATTCGGGCCGTTATGAGTGTGTTGCCGTAAATGTAGCCGGTGAGGCACGTTGCGATGCTGATTGCATTGTCCAATCACCAACTAAGCCAGATAAGCCCACAACACCGGGCAGCGAGAAGCCACCACATATTGTAGAGAAATTGAAGAGTCAATCAGTGGAGGAGGGTAGCAAAGTAATCTTCCGTTGTCGCATTGAGGGTAAACCCACACCGACAGCACGTTGGTTGCGTGGTGAGAATATTGTGAAGCCATCGCGTTACTTCCAAATGACACGTCAAAGTGAATACTATCAACTGGTGATTTCCGAGGCCTTCCCCGAGGATGAGGGCACTTACAAGTGTGTCGCCGAGAATAAGCTGGGCAGTATTCAGACCAGCGCTCAATTGAAGGTGCGTCCAATTGAGAATCTCGACGCCCCACCAACCATTACCGCACTGAAGGATGTCTCCGTGTCGGAGGGTATGCCAGCACAATTCAAGACCACCGTTACCGGTAAAGTGAAGGCCACCAGTGTGCAATGGTTCCGTGAGGGTTCTCTTATACCGGAAACCCCTGACTTTCAAGTGAGTATTTTGTTATCTTTGCAAATTTTTTTTTTAACCAAGTTCAATAGTATGAATATAAGAAACAAATCATAGATCACATAACGGTATTTTAATAATAGATATACCTAAATATTTAAGGGTACCCTCCTTTTAGCGAATTGAGAAATATCGAATAAGAATAGAAAGTTTTAGGTTACAGAGACCGCTTAAGACGCTTAAGTATAGAAAAAAGTATATGTATCAGCCCTCTTTGCTCAATAAAAAAAAAATATATTTCTAATCTCTTAGCAAAATTCCCACAATTCTTTTTTACATTTTTCGAAACACTGTATTATTTCATTTAATCCATTCTTATTAAAAACAGAATAGGATAGGACAGACAACTGAAATATCCGAAACTTATACAAACTTTTGCTTGATGTATATATAGTACTAACTTGACAGAGAGAGCGTCCAATTAGAGAGAATAACATTCTACAATTTAAACCTTTGGAAAGCTTTAACCATTTGTTTGTTCGATTCGCCAGTTTTTTAAATCTGAAAAATTCAGGTCAACTATTTTATGTCAACCTCTAATAATAATTGACAATCCAAGATCCTTGGATAAAACTCCTACATTATCACGGCCATAGTGACCTTGAAATCTCAAAACTGATGTATTTGCAATATACATATATATCCTCTCTGTCGGTTGAAATGTTCAACCCCCAACTACCCATTCCCAATTTCCCAACCCATTTAGTCGACTGTGTAAACTCGATATTTATTACTCCCAGGGCGATGAGAAAACGTCTCCGAAACTGCAAGTTTTGGTAATCTACTATTTGATAACTGTTAGACTTAATATCCGAAGGTCACTGATGATTACTAGACAAAAATTTAGCATTAGTTCAACACCAAGTATTTTTACCAGTCTTTGAGTTGCAACAACTTAGGCGCCGATTTGAATATTTTTTTTGGTGGATGTAATGTAATGTAATGTATTTAATATTTGGATAATTCAAACCTAGAAAGTTAAAAGACAACCACAGTTTTTTAAGTATCCAGAAAAACCAGTGCGTAGAGGTCAGGGACACTGCAAAAGGAAACATTTAAGGAGAAATCAAAGTTTTATTAGGGTTGCAACCTGTCTAAAGTGTTTAACTCAATAAAGTTTATAAGATAAGCAAGTAAATATGTATATAAACTTTAAAGTTTTAAGAAAGCTTTCGGTTAGTTGAGGGATTGCAACCTATTTACAATTTGTCACATTATTTTATCTTCACAAATACAAATTTTACATTCAATTTAACAGATTTAAGAACAATATTTTTAATAGGGGTTGCCACCTGTTTAAAAAATTAACTCAATAAAATTGTTGAGAAAACAAATGGTTACACTATGGATATCGAACTGAAGAGATGTATGAATATTGAAAATATTTTAAAATAAAATAAAATAACAAAATAATCAACAGGTTAAAAAATATTTTTGATGAGAGCTGCTATCAGTTTAAAAATGCAATTTAGGAAAATCAAATGATTACTATGTGGATATCGAACAGATCCCTTCTGTACTATACTCCCTTTTGTAGAATACTAAAAATATTTTTATCAGCGATTGCCACCTGTTTACAATTATCCATGGGTTACACATAATTGCTGATGAAATAAATGCAATTGTTCAAAGTTAGCAATAAAATAAGCAAATATATAGATTTATATGTTGAAAATATTTTCGATGGAAGTTGCCATCTGCTTAATAAAGTAGTTAAAACAAACAAATAATTAAATTGAGGAGTTTTAAGTGAAAAATTTTACAGTATGTTAATAATCGAAAGGAGTTTAAGAAGAATTTCTGTTTGAAAAGGGATGCCAGTCTCGTGAAAATTTTAAGTCAAGAATGTAAAATGGGTATCAAAGTGAAGAGGTTTCAGATACTAACAAATAAATAGATATACATATTTAAATAATGAACTGTATTTATTTATTTTCATTTATTTTTTATTTATTCATTTTTATTTATTTATTTATTATTTATATTTTATTTACAGATGATCTTCGATGGAAATAGTGCCGTACTACTTATTGGAACCACTTATGAAGAGGATTCGGGCATTTTCACTGTACGTGTAACCTCATCAACTGGACAGGTCGAGTCATCAGCTAAGTTGACTGTTAAAAGTAAGGATTGAATTAATAAGAAATTTACAAACAAAAAACAAGCAAACGAAAAGCAAAAATTATAGTGAACGAATATGCAAAAAACGTTGACGGTCGTAGGCTAAAACCGAAAAAATCCGAAAGAAATTCTTAGCTAACCAATAAAAAATACTCAAATTACAAACTAAGAACAACAATAACCAAACCCGAAAACGTTGCTGAAAAGAAAAAACAAACCCAAAAAGAACTTTCAAAACAAAGTGTTCACTTTAAGTAATATGAGACATATTTTAAAGAATACCCGCAATTACTAGTCGTAAAAAGTTTGAAACAATATTAAGAATATTTTTCTGCAACCACTTACATATATAAATATTAATATTTTATTATTATGCAAACGTAAAATTTATAAAAAAAAACATAAAACGAATTTAAAACTATTTATATAAAAATTAAAAAACATTTTTATTACTAATTAATATAATAATAATAAAAAGTGCGCAATCGACAAAAAAAAATAAAAAATAGCGAAAATTAAAATAAAAAACTAAATTTAATTTCTTCAAGTAAAATATATTCATATAAAAATTGCTAGAATATTTAGTGGAATTCAAAAGTTGAGCGACACAAACGCGACCACAGAAAGCGCTCAATTGTGGAAGGCGTGTGTTTAATAGATTCCACATTGTATTTTCCATTAAAACACACAAGCAGGCGAGTGAATGTGCATACCGTTATTCATATACACACGCGCACACATAAAAGCGCAGTTGTATGCTTTTAATATAGTGTGGAATTAGGTATTATTTAGCTCAAGTGGTGTAGTACAGGGCGTATAAGCAACATTTTACAATTTTACTCAACAAATCGAGATTTTGCACACACACATGCACATACACACTAAATATCATGCCACTGCGCGCTTTTCCGACTCTAAAGTAAAAACAAATGTCTAATTCTAGCGCGCGCACACACACACACGCACGCATAATTCCTTTATTAATGTGGAGATATTGTGAACCGCTTATTAGAAATTTTGAAAATTTTCAAATTTTTACTTAGTGCCGTGCGCAAAACGCACATTCATTTTAACAAACGAAAACAACAATAACAATAATGAAATAAATTAAAAATACAAAGCGACTGACTACACAATTTTTCTGTCATCTACAATGTTTAAGAACACACAGACCTACTTCGTAGAGACGGACATGATTATGTGTATATGTATGTTTGTAGCTTTCTATATACATATGTACACACGTACTAAATAGTGCGCTTTATTGGTAATATGTTGCAATATTAGCAAGATACTTGTGCATATGTAGATATGTATGTATATTTATAACGGCATATAATTTTTAACGACACTGCCGACAATTATTGAACATTATAGTCAAATGTTTAGTGTCTGGGTAATAATTGTAAATTCCAATGCATTATTGCACTAAGTGTTGCAGTGGCTATGCGCTTGCAAGTAAATGCATAAATATATACGTATATATACACATATGTATAAATATATAATATATAACAAGCCTTTTGAACACACCTGCTTCACGGTGTGCATTGCTCAAAAAACACCAAAAAAAATAATAATAATAAAAAGGGGAACAACTGTTTCGTGCGCAAAATTTAGGTTGTTGCGGCACCCCCTTGCCCTCCTCTCTCGCCACAAACACAAAAAACCGCTGGCTAAGTGTGCATTAACTACACATACATAGTTGCATGGACTCATGTACATCTGTGTGTGCAGCCATGTACAGTCATGCATAAAAATATGCGCTCATATTGTGGAAACAACATAAATTTTGACATGAAGAAGCGTAACGCGCGCATTGAAATTAAAAATGTAATGAATGTTCGCCCGCCTGCTATTCTTAGCCCATCCATTTTGCCGTGTGTACGGCTGCTGATAGGAAAATCGTCAATACAAACATATGTATGTATGTATTGTAGGTATGTGTGTAGCTGAGTGTACACTTAATAGGGCAAATCAATTATTTAAAATTTTGTTTTTAATTTCTTGGTTCTTCTTGAGAATTTAAATTTTTTGAAAATTTTTAATTTTTAAGAAAATCAAATTTTTGGGAATTTTAAATGTTAAATTTTTAAGAACTTTAAAAATTAAATTTTTAAGAATTGTAATTTTGTTTTTGGATACTTTAATTATTTTTTTTAAATTCTATATATTTAATACCTGATATTTTTGAGACTTATTATTTTTTGAAAATTTTAATTTTTTGGAAAATTTAATTTTTTAAATATTTATATTATTTGCAAATATTATATTTGTAAATTTGGAATTTCTTGACTTTTATATTTTAAGATTTCTATTTAAATTTTTGTAAATCTAAGAAAGAAATTTCGATATATTTGAAAAACTCAATTATTTTTTGGAATTTTTTTTTTTTTGCAAATTTCTATTTTTTGAATATCTATTGTCATCTATTTCAAATGTATAGAAATTTTTTATTTTGAAAATTTTCTTATAATCCACAACAATAGTTGCATACTTATGGAGATTAGCCTTTTGGTTATTTTGAAATTATGTCGATTAGTGTATTGTATTTTTAGCTGGTGTTCCATACGCCCCCCGCCAACAGCCCACAACACCTGTTGTTGCCCGACGCGCCGTGTATTGAAACACTGCCAAACAAAAACGACAAAAAAGACACACGCCGCAGAATTTTAAGTTGAAATTTGAAAAAAATAAAATAAAAACAATAAAAGTCATTATTTATCGTTTCGCTGTCGGCTGACAGTACTTTATTTGTTTTCCATCAACTTCAATTTGTTGTTGAATCTTTTAAAAATAAATAATATATTAATAAATAAAACGAAATAGAACAAAGTTAGTATTTTTTTGCATGCACTGTGTGGCAAAAAACGGTCGATATTTTGTAGAAACCGTGACAAAAAGTAGGAGATTGTTACTTTTCAAGCATCTTGTTATATTTTAGCGGTTCTTGAGGCAACGAAAGCCCAAACCACTGGTTGGAAAGGCAATTTATTTTTTCTTTGTGCTTCCTACGCTCGTCTTCACTGCTGTTCCTGAGCAGCCAGTTGGCTCAGATTAGCTGCACATGTCGCAATATGCGCCATAATGCACCGTTACAACAAATCACTTTTGGCACTTACCCTAATGAATCATTATTTGTATGATTAGCCGAGTATAGTTTACATACGCTACACTTACTAATCATTAGTTGGCATTAGTCGCGCTCAAGCACATACTGTATACACAACCTTATACACATAGGTTATTTGAGGAAAAAAATTTTAAACAAATAAATACAAAAACAAATGAAATGTTGTTTAATTCTTTGCCGTTACATTTGTCATCGTCAGCAATATTCGTCACCGGCACAAACGCTGCTCCTCGGTTGATTCATATCGTGTGTATATAAGATTTGTTATTTTTAAGTTTTCGCAATCGAGCCAGCTCACTATAGACGATATAGACGAGTAGATCATGTGTTGTTGATTATGCGCTCCACTGCCTTGTATATTTGTTGCTATGCGCTGACAAACGAAAAAGATGAATTAGTATTTAATGGTTTTAAATTAAAAATAAAAGCTAAAAATAATAAAAAAAAAATATATTACCTATAATAATTATAAAAACGAAAAATAAAATATTGTTTCAAACTTTGACTAAAGCAGCAAAATGTTGCGCAGCTAGACTAGTTAAAACTAGTTAAAAAAAAGTAAAAAAACGGTAAAAAATTTAAAAAATTTTGAAAAAATTAAAAAAAAAAAATTAATTTTTTATCCAAAAAAATCTAAAAGTTGTAGAAAAGTTAAATGAAATTCCCTAACGCCTATTTGTCAACACTGGACTGTCTATTTTATTTATATATATAGGTACATTAATTACTATGCATTACCTTGCCGCTGTTTAACTCATATCATATACATACATATCGACCTATATACATTACTTTTTAAATATGTATGTGTATTTTTAAATGTTTTTACAGTGTTTTGAAACAACAATTTATATTTTTCTTTGTATAACTGTACTGTAGTAGTGTTGCATGAGTTTTTATAATTACTTTTTTAACTAAACGCTTCATACTAATGCTACTTTTTACTACAATTGTGCGTTTATTAATGATTTTTTTTTTTTTTTCAAAATTTTTTGCTTGTTATTTTGAAAAAAAAAAATATATATATATATACTTTTTATTTATTATAAAGTTTGAATACATTTGTTTTGTTGTTTTTTTGAATTCAAAATTTGAAATAAAATTATAAATTTAATTAAACTTTTTTAGTTTTCAAATTTTTTTGCCAACTTTTAAATTTTTTTTACATTTATATGTTGTGTTTTCTTTCAAATGCACATTGTCTTTTCTATTTTTTCTATAAAAAATATTACTATTAAAAATAAATTTTTTTTAAAAATATTTTTCCAAAACAAATTTTGTTTACACATTTCATTTCGTATTTTGTTGTTTTATGCAAAAATTCTTACAAAAAATTTTATTCAAAGCGCTTTATTGCTTTTTACAACTCAAAACTTAAGTGTTGTTGTTTTTTAAGGTATAAGAAGCGGCTTGGCTTAAAAAATTAATTATAAAATACTCATGCGACTAGGCTATAAGCGCGTTTACTTGAATGTCAACCACGCCAATTTAACTATTTAATATGTATTGTATGATTTTCTTGTAAAACGATAACTTTAATTGATAAATATTTTTTATGTTTTACTTAAAAAGATCAAAATCGATGTTAATTTTTGTTGTTAAGTGTTTTATTAAATTAAATTAATCACACTCTTATATATATTTAAATTTATATTTATATTGCATATATGCTGTTTGTATTACTCCTGTAAGCATAACTAATATTATTTTAATTGTTGTTTATGTTTATATACACACACTTATATATATATTTTTACATACATACAAACATTTATGTTATTTATTTTAATGATTTATGTTTCCTTTTTTTTATTTTCGATGAATTTACGCAATAAATCACACAATACAACATTGCTAAAAGAAATTAGCAACAAGTTTTTCATTCTAAAACATAAAAAATTTTATCATTTCACAGCTTTGCAAATGCCTTAAATTATCCTTTAGCTTACTATACGCCTGCGTATCCTATACTTAAAACGCTGTACTCTGCTGTTAAACGCCATTTTTCAGCTAACAAATAAATTACCGGCTAACTACCATTATATTTGTATACAACACTTCACCACATCAGCAAACCAGGTAAGTGAAAAAAATGAAAATTAAACGAATCTCAAACTAAAATTCATATTGGTACTTTCCTCTATTGTAAATTTTCATCGTCTGAACGCGTCACTAAATTATTTTGCTAGGCAAAAAAACACTTCCTTAATATACACCTTTCGCTTTCAAAGCGTCGTCGAAGACTGCAGTAAAAATTTCAATTTTTCTTAGTCGATTTTGTTCGCGCCCCGTTTGCGTTCGTGGGCAACATCGCCGCAATCGGCTGGCAACACAATCGGCAACATGTTGCGCATGTGTGTAAATATAGACAAGCGTTAGCAACATTTCGGTATGCAAGGCGACACACCTTCTGCATATGTATATACTCGTATGTATATGTGTACGCCAGGTGACAAGAAATACATTGAAATATATGTATATATAAATATATATGTATGTAAGTGTAGATATATATTTAAATATGTATATACACCTCTTTATGCATACATTTCATGCCTGCCATGAACGCTGCGGTGTTCTTTATTGACTTCGTCCTTCGACAAATGTCAGCATCATTAAAAATTCATAAAGAAAAAATTTAAATAAAGATATATATATAATATATATATGTATATATATATACCACCATACCATAAGCGCAACGTGCCCCAAAATACCGTATATCATTCGTTCATCTCGAACTGTCCATCTTCATATGCAATCTCTTAATTCCTCTATCAGGCAGGCAGCAGCTATTGTTGCATTGTTTTCAATTTAATTTTTAATTTTTTTGTTAAATTTCTTTTAATTTTCTATAAATTTTTTTAAATTTTTTCACTTTTTTTTGAAATTTTTTTTTTTTTTTTGTGGTTAACAAGTAAGCACACATGGTACAATGCCAATTTCAATTAAAGTTCTTCACATGCAGTTTTATATATTTTCGTCAATGAAAACTCATCACCGAGTTATCTCGAGGAAAAACAAGATAATTGCGCATATAGAGCATCAATTCGCTTTCAATTTGTTTTCACCTACCAGTACATATGTATATATACATATATATGTTGCATATGTACATGTGTCTATCTTGGCTGACAGCTGATGATCAGTTTTTCCGATATAGTCTGTGACGCACTCATTGCTTAATGGCTGAATTGGCTTTGAATGCATCATTTGTTTTTATTGAGCCTTTTTTAGCGAATGTTTAACTGAATTAATTTTAGAATGCTTTCGAATGTGGTTAGTAATCTATATAACGGTATAAATGAGGTGTTGTTTTAAAACTATGACAACTTTTTCTCGTAGCTTTTTTTTTATAAAGCTATGCAAGCAATCCTGGTACCAGCTACTATATAGAATGAGGTGTTAATCTAAATATTGTATGTGTTTCAACTTTCGCTGTGATACCACTTAATTTTTAAGGGATATATAATGAGGCGGTATTCCAAAAATTTATCTCATTTTAATTTCACTGAATCATGCAAGATTTATTTCAGCTATAATATATATAATACATAGTATGAGGTGTTATTCTTATGCAATCATTAAATTGGTATGGGTTTATAGATCCCTTGATAACTGAAATTAAACCCAAAATCACCTAAAGCAACTGTATATAAAATAGGTTCTATCAAATTTCATACCAAATATAAAAGCTATAAAACCAACCTAAGAAGTATATAATTCGACCTGGAACGACAAAAAAAAATAAATTTTAAAAATAGTCTCCTTGGCCAATACGAGCATTCCAAGATTTAATCTACTTTTCCATACACCTGGTTTAAGCTTCGGTTGGGACGACCTTCAATGCCTTCAGCAAATTTTAATTTTTTCGATTTCGGCTCATTTTTGTAGAGCCTTTAGGTACGAGTCTAGCATTAATACGCGTCATACCCAAAACATTAACCAAAATTTGTAGAGCGCTATATGAGAGATGCTGAGATCCTCTGCTATGTCTTTGATGCCAATACCACCATTATCAAGCAGTTTTTCTTTAACTTGTTCGGTGTTATCGTTATTAACAGATGTGTAGGGATGACTCGCAACAAGTACTTTACGACCGTGGACAGTAAGAATTCGATACTAAAAATAATTCGACTTTTTTCTACTTTAAATAGTAAAATTTTCCATGAAAGCTGTCATATTGACACAAAAAGGAGTAACCAAAAACTTAATTTAATAGAATGATATGGTCGCTTATCCAAATTAAATCAGCTAGTAACCACTTGAAAGATTTAAGGCTTTTGGCTTAGAAAACCGCTCGCTTTTTCGATTTCTAATTGCCTTCTAATTGCGAATTGAGATGAGATGGGATCAGACTCGCACACAATTTCAAAATGTATGCAAGAACAGTTAAACAGTTATTGTTTGTAATAAATATTTGAATTCAGCGGTTAAATTGAACAACTCTCCCTCCTAACTTCGAAGGCAGTTATTCTTTTCGTTCGGTCGACGGAACTCGATTTTGCGACTGAAACGAAATCTAACTTGGACTCTCGGACTTTTTCTTAAAAGTCGGCAAAACCGATCTGGACAGAACTTCAGACAACAAAAATCAGTCTACATATATAAAAGGTAGCTTAGAAATTTAAAAAGTAAAAGTTGTCTGATGGTTTTATACATAAATAAATAGATACTTTTTGGTGCTGAGAAATTAACTAAACTTTTAGTTTGAATTGTGGAAAAAATATTAATTTATTCTTGTTTAGTTCTAATGTATACAGTTTAGTGACAACAACAACGGCTACAATGGATACGTATAGCAGTATATGCACGAAAAATCTCAAAAACATATTCGAATATATGTATATATATATTTTAAAAACATAGCGAAATAATGGAGCACCTGGACAGTATTATTTTTAGACTGTAAAAACAGACCAATTACTCATTTTTTTACTATCTGTATGTATGCCTAAGTACATATATCTGTCTATGTTTTCAAAATGTTGCCAGCTAGAAAAACTTATCTCAATATGTCAAAAATAATTTCGTAAATAAAAGAGGTCAACGTATTTTAAATGATTTTATTTTAACCAAAGGGAAGGGAAGGCAACATTTCATAAGCAAGACTACCGACAAGAGGAAACGAAATTGGAATAATTAATATGGTGGGGTCTGAGATGCTGTTTTTAGAAACTTTAAAACTTGTGTGAAATGTTTATGTTAGAATTGGAGCAAACGAACATATAAAATGAGCTTTCATGCCTTTTGTAAATCTACAAATCTATATATGTATGTAAATAATTAATTATGTATGAAGAGGTCGGCAGGAAAATGGTGGCTCACGTGTAGTCGTTTTCTCTTCATACAATTTTGGAACAAAAATATAAAAAAAATGTACAATATTGTTAGTACGTATTTTAATTATTCTGTACTACTCAGGATAAATATACAATATATATAATAAAGGGTGTCCCAAAATTAACGCAAGATTGTTATTAAATAGAAAACACAGTTTTTTGTTTGTCGATTGTAATTTTTTTTAATCATAAAGTACATACGGTAGAGAGTTTTTTATGGAATAACACAACGGGCAAATGGCCTATACATATACGCACTCGTTTGTCAAATTTTTCCAAAACTATTCTCCATAAATGTGGCTGAATTTCATTGTTGCAACATTGAATCTCCTCCTTTAAGGCACGCGTGGTTGTGGGCTTATTGCAATAGACCTATGATTTTAAATAGCGCCATAAAAAATTTTAATGTGCTTTATGGCTTAGAATGATTTTGCTCTAAAAATCAGCATCCATTTGTTGATGCTCAATAATACATTCAACAAACTATCTTCGCTGTGCATGAATTTTGTAAGCGGCCGTCAAGCTTTCAATATTTTTGAAATAGTGTTCAATAATGAAGACACCAAACCTAAACTGTCAGCTGTCAATTTGTTTCTTTACTTTCTTTCCTTACTACAAAAATGGCGGCAAATTTAAATCTTGCATTAATTTTGGAACATTTCATCACTTGAAAATCATAAAAAATATTGCATAAAATCTAATTTCATCATCTTTTACCCTGGAAGGGAAATTATATTGATTTTGACTATACACCTATGTGGTTATGTTTTACTAGTTTCAAGCATTGAGTGGATAAATTAGGTTAGTTTAGTTTATATAGGTTATGTTGAAATGTTTTACTTAAATATTATATCTCGTGATATGTCTTGTAGTATTTAGTCTTTTATAGAACACGAAGTCGACAATACCTTCGAAGTGATCTCAAGCATGATAATTTAAGTAAATATGCGACCAAGTACTTAAACTCTTTGACATTTTTGACCCAGTTCCATTTGAAATTTTTTTAATGCTAGAAATTTTCACACACAAAAAGTTTCATTATTTTAAGATATTTCTAAAACAAAAAAAAGTTGATGTATTTTTAAGAGAATTTAATTACTTTCCAAGATAAACACTGACCTAAAATTGTTGATTTTTCATCATTTCATATCTTGAAATTATTTTACAATTATTTGTTGAGATTAATAAGTGATGATTTGCTTCTAAATTTTTAATTTCAAAATTTCTCAAACACATATGAAAACGAATAAAAATTCATAGAGAAGCTTGGCAACAGCTCCTACCACAAAACAACTTAAGTTCCGAAACAAATTTTTTCCTAAAGAGTACAAATTTCAACTCTAATATTTTCCTTCAAGGTACAACACCAACTTTTTTCTTACGGCGTACTTAGTGGGTATGTTAATACCCGATTGCATGCTGTAGCAACGGGGAATATTTCAAGCTGCAAATGGGGTCAATGAATTATTTTTAAATTTTCAGACAAGGAAACAGCTGTCCATAAAGCTATCAAAGCGCTGCTATTATTTCGAGCATGAAATGCCCAACTACATACCTCCTAAGTAGCAAAGTTTTGGGAAACTTGTAGATTAAAAATGCAGCGATTAACACATATTACCTAGCTATTGCAACAGCGCAACAATGTTGCACAAATTTGGGTGATTTCTTCATGGGGTGTTGGTTGAATTAAGTAGCATCTGTTTGTTTAGCCTACGAAATTGCATTACAAAAGCGACTTCTATAGTGTAAAGAATTTTTCAACTTTCAGAACAATTACAGTGAATGCTCTAGAAAGAAATATGTATAATCGAACTCCCAGTGTGAAGGAAAAATATAGTATTGAGAAAGAAGATGAAAACTTATATGAAAAGAAAATTAAATTTTACGATATCTGTTTGCATTTTATCTATCAGCCAGCATCTTCTTTAGTAGTACGCAACAGTGCTCTTGTCGACCATTTCACTCATCCCCATTCACTCCAAAATCAAAACCATTTTTTTTTTTAATGGTCGCTCCATAATTGGCAATGACTAATCAACTCCTAAGCATATTGCTGAATAAAAAAGTTTCGAAAAATCTTTAAATCATACCATAGTCTTCTGCACAACTTTCTCTTTCGAAAATGAGTTGAAAATCGCTTCTGGTAGAGCTGCATATTTATGTATAAACCGAATACACAAATATTTTATCACTTATTTTAACAAATTTAGTTAAAGAATTTCGAAATTTTATAGTCATATTTATAAAAAAAAAAACTAAATTTATATTTTAAAAAAAATTATAAAATTTATATTATACAAAAAATTTAAAAATGTATATACAATATATAAAAATGTTATTCAGTAATTTTTACTATTATGAGTCTATGGCTTTCTCTCTGTATATAAAATTATAAACTTAAGCGAATAATGATGAAAAGATACAAACGAACATACATCCATCAAGAAGTGTGTCTAGAAATCAGCTCTAGAAATTTATATTTGAAAAAGTCGGTCTGTACGTATATACATATGTATGTGCAGCATATAGTATGCATACTCACCTGACACAACTAATTACAAAAATAGTTTAAGGTTAAATCAGCTAACTTTTAGACCATGAATTTTGCACTTCGAAAGCTCTTTAAAGCAATGTTATTAAGATTTTTTTCCTTTTCATATAAAAATTAAGAAGTGTGAAGATCAACTGTCAAACAAAATGCACATGAATGAAAATATGTTTATTCACATAACAATGTTTACATATTTTCGAACAGAAAAACGCAAAAAGTATCTTCAAAATTCATATTTTTCGCACAAAAATCCTCAGTCAAGGGCCATCAAAGATGAAATATGTAATGCACTTAGAAACTATTAGCTGTGCCAACAAATCATAGAAAAATATATATGTCTGCAAATAAATATATATATATACTTATACATAAATTCATAGGGGTATATATATATATATTTGTACTTGTAAATAATATTTGAAAAATGCATCAATATGTCTATAAATCAGACAAATAATTATAAGCGAGCAAAATTTAAGAGGCAAAATTCGTATATAAGGTATATATATATGTACATAAATACTTACTTATATATGGCTGCATTTTCAAATGTACCACATTCTTTTGCTACTTATATTGACCACCTGTGATGATGAGTGTATAGTTTCTATGAAAAAAAAATTCAAAATTACATACTTACATACATTTATACACATATCTAACTATGCGCGAATATATTATACATTATATATTACATATCTAAATATGACACGCACCAAAAAATATCTCTGCAAAAAACAATAATTATGTCTCATATTTAATTTTAGTACAAGTACTAATGACACACCTGGGATGACTGTACAAAATATATGTATGTACATATGTACTATATATATTATATAATATATACAAAAATCTGCATAATACTGTTTTTTGAAATGCTCGCTTTTAATAAAAAAAAAGACAAAGAAAACAATCAAAACAAAAAAGGAAATGATATTAAAGAGTCACGTTGCTATTTTTGCACTAGTGCAGGTACCTTATATATTTTCTAAAAGCACATATATACATATGTACATTCATATAAACTTAATTTCTGCTTTCTTTCGGACAGACAATATAGATTTGTCAACATACAATAAATGTGTGTGATGAAGTCACAGGCGTGTGCAAATAATAATACTTAAATATATACAGAGAAAATATTAAAATACATATATACATAATTATGTATATGTATTTATATATTTTTCTATACAACTATTATCAATAAACAAAATTAAATCAAATTAACTGTTATATATGTACATTTATACTGGCAGGGTTGCAAATAATGCATTAAAAAAATAATTTAATTAATATTTGAATTAATTTTTTTTTTTTTTGTAATCTGAGTTACAGTATTCAAAATACAAATAAAAAAATTTAATCCTGCATACCGGATTAAAAAATAAATTAAAAAAGTTGATTTCCAAAAACGGATTAAAAATTTTATTTTAATTTTGAAAAATCCCAACATTGAGATTAAAAAATAAATATTTTATTTTTCATATAAAATTTTTGAATTAAAAATTTTGCAACGCTGTATACTAGTATATGGAAATATAAATATGTGAATCAATGCCAACACGCACGAGCACACACTATAGTAGTGGGCAGTTCAAAGTAGAAATTTTTTAAAAATTATTAATTTAATTAGTGCTGAAAAGATTTCACCTTAAAATATGCGAAAAATGGTTGGTGAAATGCTCACATTATCATATGATGCTAGAGAGCTACAAACATATGTACATACAAACATTAATTAACAGTTTTGATAAATATTCACAGCTAGTTGAGATCAAAAATGGAATAACTCTGCTTTATTAAATAAATTTTATTTTTTTGTTGTGGAGAGGAAGAATGTAATATACCATATGATCAAAACTGAACCGGACTGGCAAAAAAGTTCTTCTTTCACGTAAATCTTTATTATCGCCTTCAAAATATGCTAATGAACCAATCAAGCGTGCCAAGCTCATCAGTAATGATGAGTTTGATGAGTGTAGGATACCCAGCTACGTAGTCAGGCATCTCTTCTACGACCTTTACTCGACGACGTTTTTGGAAAAGATTTAGGTCTTGGTACGAGAAATGTTAATTGACTCAACGTACTAAATTAAGCTTAAACAAGTAGCTATCTTAAAACAGTTTAGATTTTGTTTTTAAATACTTAATACCTAAGTTTCAATCAACTTCTTTTTAATTTAAAGGGTACATATTGATCTGTTGTCTATGCATTTGAAAGAATAGGACAACTAGCCAATTTTCAAAATTTCATGACAGCTTTTGATTACGATTGTTTTTCTTACTCTTGGCATTTTGAAAATCTTGTTTCAAATCATTGAAAATTTCTCCAAAATCTCTGCAATCTTTATTGAGATAAAGATAAATATTTCAGAGCTATTGAGGAAATTTTTTATTAATTAAAAACCAATTGAACAATTAGTTAATTGACTCAGTTAGTTAATTGCTTTATTGTATGGCACATTGGGGACAATAAGTCTGATACTGAACTTGCTGATATTCTCTTTATTGTCCAATTAAAAAAACTTTTGAACGTTGTATAACTGGTAGTATTATGGCAGATACTTGTGTTCTAGATAAAGTGGATTCCACGAAACACTTACAATATCTTCAACTTAAATTATAAAATACTAATTTTCATATCTCGCAAAATTAAAAAGATGTATGCATTAAACCGATAATATTAATTCACAATCGTTAAAGTAATTTGAGTTCCCATGGGAGTAGAGTATAATAAAAATCGGTTTCGTTCAAAGTAAAAGATGCAGTTCGGTTAAAAATACATAAAACATAAATATAAGGCTCCGTGATACAAAAAAAAATATCTTCGAAACATACGAGAAAATCTAAATTAGGAAGAACTAAAAACTGTTTGATTGGGTGGTTGAAAAGAGAGACCCAGGAGCGCCTGACCGCAAGGGATGGCACTTACATCATCATTAAGCCCATTGTGCCTTCAAGTTTTTAGTATAATTCAATATAAATAAGAAATTGTCACTTTGTCAATAATAAAAATTTGGAGAATAAAGTCTTACTTACGTCATTTCAAATATATACTATATATCACTCTAAACATTTTAGCGAATAACTTTTCATAGCTTGCGTTCAACTTCAGAGAAATCGAATTTGTATATACTACAAATACATAATCCTATAAGGACCCTAAGTGTTTTTGTTTATACTTAACAAATATACATTCTTTAGCGTTTAGTCATGGAAAGTAAATTGCCGCGGAAAAATATATATTATAAAAATATTTTAAAAGAGGAAAACAATAAAAAACAAAATATCCATTAATAATCTTTCTAATATAAATGCGGCTATAAATTGGATAAAAATTGTCAGAATGAATATTTATAGTTGATAAAATGACGCAGAGGATATAAGTCGAGATATATATTTTTAGAGAAAACTTATTTTTGTATATTATATATTCTATACTTTAATAAGATCGTATAAATATATATATTTTTGTATTTCTAAAGAAATTGGTGGCATTAATATTAAGAGGGCACTAAACAGCCTTCGCCATCTCATAAACGATCACTGAACTCAATGGAGGGTGTGTAAGTGGCGGACTTGTTTACAGGCATGTAAAATGTTGCTTAAATTAATATGCCATTAATATAAAGTATATGAGTATATGTGTATGTTTATAGATATCTGAATAGGGTCCTATAGAGCAACAATTTTATTTTTATGAACTTCAGTTTAAATATTAATTTGCTGATAAATTTCAATGTGCTTACTTACACAGTTATCCGTCTAAAAAATCATTCTATTTTTTTAATATCTCTTGCATGTGTGTTAAAGTGCTATGTTTTTATAGTTAATATGCTAAATTACTGTCAATAGAGTTAGGAAATTTCGGTAATTGTCTGGAGTACAACGAAAAGATAAACGGTTCGAAGCGACCGTTTCTGATTGTCTTTTTGATTAAAGTACGTTAATTGATAAATATTGTAGAGTTGTTGTCACTCAGAATTATTCTTAATATAAAAGTTTTCTCTACCTGCCCTTACGTCAAAGCTCATACGCAGAAATCGACTGCAATTCTCGACTAGAGATCTTGCTTAGCATTTGCTAGATATTTCTTCAAGCTTATTTTTGTGTGGGTATACGAAAAATGGAGCTCTATAAATCGCCATTGTTTGCCTAATGAACATTTTCATAAAGTTCTCCAAGTACTATGAACCTATGATTTTTCGAGTATTAGTCACGCACCCAAGCCATTATAGCTACAGAGGTCGTAAACATTAATTCTAAGTATCATATCAAATTTTATCAAGGACCCAAAGGTTCATACCTTATAGGTATGCATAAAGACCTCCATTCTTTTGAGAAAATTTTCAATAAATCGACGCTAAGATTCTGAACTTGAACACAGGTCTTATACTTGTATAATATAAAAATGAAATATATTACGAAGAGCTAATAAAACTATCACGAATAGAACCAGATGAGAACAAATCCCGAACTCTGGTATGTACTACATTCCTGCTGATCTAGAAAAATATCCGCTTCGCTTTCAGCTTTCTACATAGCTTTCGCTTTTCGCTCAAGAAATTATATTTTCAGACAGTAGACATGAACCGCCTTCGACCACAAACTTGCTTAAATAATTATAAACCGAAACTATTTTGCAACCCTTTTTATTAACCCATTGTAAAATTTCTAGAACGACGCATTTCGGCCTTCCAGTTACGACCAATCGATTCCGTTGAAGATGAGACCTCATCCTCAGGCAAAGAAGACAGCTCACCTGAGTCTCCACACGCTCAGCAGCCCGGCGCACCACAATATGGTCAATACTTGGCCATCAATGGGCAAGCACCACATCAGGGGCGTCCACGTACGAAGAAGCCACGCAGTAAATCATTGCAGCCACAGTCAAACATAGTACCGTGGCGTAAATCATCACGACCACGACGTGGTCGTTCGCTAGATAAGCAACCCTTCTTCCCCGGTTACAAGCCGGAACCAGTTAAATCATGGAAAGAGGAAACGATAAGTCTGAAACCGACACCAATCGAGAAGAAAGTCATTCCAAAAATGGAAGCCGCCAAGGTTGAGCTCAAATCCATTAAGGAACAACGTAATCAGGGTTTGATGGGTATCGGCGCAACGCTCGATCAAATTATCGCTGGTAAGACTGAAAAGGAAGCGATTCCTTGGATCGTAATGCGTGAGAAATTGAAACATGTCGAGAGTGTGCAAAAACAATTGGACAAATTCGATTTGGATGAAGTGTATCTGCGACCACTCGAACAGCCAATAGTGACAGATCAAAAAGCACCACATCAGGCGCAAGAGCAACAAGAACAAATTGAACGTACCAAAGAGATACAGCGCCTGCGTAGTATGGAGAGTATTGAAATCAACGAGATGACGGAGCAGATCGAGAAATTGATAACGAAACATCAAAAGGAAGACGCGGTACCGTGGAAGGAAATGCGTCAGCATTTGAAGAGCGTACAACGTGTCACTAATCAAATTGAAAAGTTTAAAATTGAAGAAGTAGAATTACGCCCTCTACCAACACAGACCGCAACTACACAGGAAATAAGTAATACAACATCGGGCACCGTCTCAATGATGGTCGATGAAAGCTCTAAAGGCTCCATACAGAAGGTGGTACGCAAAGAGCAACTACAGCAGTATGAAGATGTGAATGAGGTCCACAAACAACAGTATATCATAAGTGAAGACATTAACTTGCTGAGTGTCGCTGAACGTGAGAAACTGGAAGCACAACGCATCATTCAACAGCAACAAGCTGTAAACTGGCGTCAAGGACGTAAAGTGCCCGCACTGCAGCCACTCACCTCAATGGAGGATACTTCAATACTAAAGACTGGTGTTACGACTCCGGAACAGTTCGAACAAAGCTTGCAACAACAAAAATATACCACTGTCGAAGATTCGAAAATGATGAGCGTCGAAGAGTATGAGCATCTGCAAATGATGAAAAGTACACAAGAAGAGAAGGCTGTAGAATGGCGTCAACAGCGTCAAGTGCAAGAATTCCAACAAACTGAGGACTCTAGCAGATTGTCATTACAACAACGACAAGATACGGAGGAACAGCAGTTCATACAACCGCAACCAACTTTGTGGGACCGTGGTAAGAAGAAGCCACAACCGCAAAAAGCACAAGCTCAAGCACCACAACCCACTGAGCAATATCCTGAGCAGCCTAAGACTTATGAGGAAGCGGTGGATGTGCTGTCTGAGGGGCCGGTGCCTGTAAAACCAACCGAACAACCTACACCAGTTCTGTGGGAACGTGGTAGAAAGAAGACCACAACACAACAACAGCAAATCACTGAAATACAACAAGTCACTGAAGTAGCACAACAACAATTCGTGGAACAGCAACAACTAATCGAACAAAGAGAATTTGTTGAGGAAACTAAGAAGACTAGCGTACGTAAAACAATTGCGCCACGTGAACCTGAACAGAAAATGGAGCAAGTTGTACTCAAGCCGACACCACGCCCACGTCCGAAGTTAACACAAAAGACTGAAGAAGTGCAAATACAAACTCTGAAACGCACACAAGCTACACATACCGTTGAAGAACAGCCAACAAAAACCTTCGAGCAAGCTGTGGATACACTTGAGGAAGAGGCAGTGCCTCAACAGCCGATTGCACCCGAACCCTTATTGTGGGAACGTGGAAAGAAGGCCACTAAGATTGAAGAAGTAATTGCTGAACAACCAATTGAAACTTATGAGGAGGCTGTGGATGAACTTCCTGAGCAACCTGTATCACATATCCCAGAACAGCCTCAACCTGTGTTGTGGGAACGTGGCAAGAAGAAGCCTACTGTGCAACCAGAAATAGTAGAGCAAGTGGAGCAACAAACTGTGGTGGAAGAGGTTAAGAAAGTTACACGTAAAGTAATACCACAAGAGCCGGAAGAAAAGATGGAACAAGTGGTGCTTAAGCCAACACCGCGACAGAAACCGAAAGAATCACCCAAAGCTGAGGAAGTGCAACTTAAGCCCGCCAAGCGACCACAACCAACACGCGCTACGGAAGAAGATCAGCTGCAACCAACGAAAGCATACGAAGAAGCAGTTGATGAACTTCCTGAAGAGCCGAAACCACAGCAACAAGAGCAACAACCGGTCTTATGGGAGCGTGGTAAAAAGAAACCTATCAAACCTGTAGAGGAAAAGGTGGAAGAGGTTGAACAAAAGGTAGAGGAAAACATTTCGGAAGAACTGACCGTCGTTGAGGAAACTAAAAAGAAAGCTGCGCGTAAAATTATTCCACAAGAGCCAGAAAAAATGGAACAAGTGGTGCTCAAACCTACACCAAGACAGAAACCCAAGGAAACGCCAAAGGCTGAAGAAGTGCAGTTAAAACCCGCAAGACGCCTGCAGCCAACACAAGTCGTTAAAGAAAAGCCACTAGAACCCACGAAAGCATACGAAGAAACTGTGGATGAAATACCGGAAGAGACAGCTCAAGTCGAAGAACAACCGCAACCTGTTATATGGGAACGTGGTAAGAGAAAGAAGCCTGTTAAGCCAACCGAAGAGAAGTTAGAAGAGGTTCCCGTACTGCAAACACAAGAAGAAGTGGTTGATGTAATGGAGGAGCCTAAACCAGAGCAACTTGAAGAGAAGCCTGTGCTATGGGAACGTGGTAAGAAAAAACCAAAGGACGAAGAAATTCAAGTTGTCGAAACCCAGAAAGAGGAATTGAAAGAACAAGAAGTCGCAGAGAAGAAGAAAGTCAAGAAAATTAAGAAACGTCCAAGCGTGACTGAGGTAGTACAAACTGAAGACTTAGTAACAACGGTTGAAGAAGAAGAAGTGCCCGAAGAGACACAACCAACAATTGACGAATACAAAGCAACAGATATCGTGGAGAAATTCAAAACAAAGAAAGTCAAGAAACCGAAAGTGAAGCCAGAAGAAATTGAAATTACGGATACTCCAGAAGAAATTATGGAAGAAGCTGTTGAAGATGTCAGTATTGTAGAAGAAAGCGTTGAAGAAAAGAAACGTAAAGTTAAAAAGGTGAAGAAACCTAAGAAGGTGAAAATTGCCGAAGATGTAGAAGAAATTCAACCTGAGGAAGAAGAAGAGGAGGAAGAAGAAGAAATACGGCCAGAAGAACCGGTGCCAGAAGAAAAGGTACCCATTAAACGTAAAGAAATCAAACCACAAGAGCCTGAACAAGTCGAAAAGGTGACCCTTAAACCGGTACCACGCAAACAGTTACCCAAACTAGAGCAAGAGAAACCAGAGGAAGTCACCCTCAAACCATTTAAGAAACCACGATCTTCTGAAGATGCGCAGCAACCCACAGAGTTGGAAACTCACGAAGAGGTTCTTGAAAAAGTCGCCATAGAAGTCATCGAAGATGTCACGAAGAAACGTGTCAAGAAGAAGAAGCCCAAGAAAAAGACCATTGAGCAAGACGAGGAAGGGGAAATCGAAGTACCCACAGAAGAGGTAGAAGAGGAAGAGGAAGAAATCGTAGAATCTGCTCCAGAAACTGAAGAACAACCAATCGGAGAAGTTGTAGAAACGGCAGAGGTTACACCACAACTCAAGCCTAAACCCAAACCAGTACCAGTAGAAGAAAAGGTGGAAGAAGTTTCACTTAAACCAATAAGAAAAGTTAAAAAGCCTTTACCTGAAGAACAAACCATCGAGGAGGTAAAACTTAAGCCTGTAAGACGTCCCCAACAGGTGACAGAAGAGCAGCAGCTCGAAGAAGTAGTGCTCCAGCATGTCGAGAAACAGGCAGAAGAAATCATAGTTGAAGAAAAGAAAAAGACAAAGCGTGTTAAGAAGTCAAAACCAGAGGACTTGCCGGAAATACCAGATGCAGAGCCAGTACAACTTGAAGAAGCCGAGCATTATGATATTGAAAAGGAACCTATTGTAGATGAACCACAACCGCAAGTGCCTTGGAAGCGTGGCGAAAAGAAGAAGCCTGTCGAAGAACCTATTGAAGAAAAACAATTGCCTACAGGTAAGAGAAGACCACGAGTGGAAGAACAACCAGAGGAAGTAAAACTCAAACCAATACCACAAAAACCGAAAGAAGAACCGGTGCAACCAATTAAAGAAGTAACAGCACCTAAATTGGTGCCTGAAGAACGACCACAACCAGAAGAGGAGGAAATCGAAATCACGCCTATACCCGTCGAAGATGACACCAAGCCACAGAAAGAGAAGCCAAAGAAAGAAAAGAAGAAGAAACCGAAATTACAAAAGGCAACACCGTCAGTAGATGAAATCACTGAAGAAATCGCTCAACCATTCAATGAACCAATAACAGAAGAAGATCAAGTCGATGAAATACCGATTGACGAAATCAAAGAAGTTGCCGTCTCTGAAGAGGTCTTACCCGAAGAAGAAGTCGTGCCAACCGAAGATGTGATTACCACCAAACAAAAGGCACATAAGAAACGCACAAAACGACTAAAGGATGCATCTTTTGAAGAGCAACCGCAGTTGCTTGAAGCCGAAATTGTGGATCTTGAAGCTGAAGAGATCATAACACAAGAAACTTCACAAGAAGTGTCACAAAAGACAATTACACTTAAAAAGACTGAAGACAACCGACCACAATTCATAACCACTGAGCAATTGATCGAGCTCGATGTTGATGATGTGCGACGCGGTATCGACATGAAAGTTACATCAAATATTGTTAAGAAAGAAACACGACGTATCATTTTGGACGACAGTCAACCTTTGCCCGAGCTTGAGCTAATTACGCAAAAGCGCATACAAGAGGGTATCGATATGTTGCCCGACGAAGAATTGATCGAAGATCAAACCGTGCCACAAAAGGAAGAGACCACAACATCCGAAGTGCAACGGCAAGAACGTAAGTTGGTGCGCAAGAAGAAGAAGGAGATCAAACCACCACGTATTACCGAAAAGCTACGGCCGGTTATGTGCACACCCGAAGCACCCACAGAGTTGGAGTGTAAAATTGAGGGCTCACCTTTCCCCGAAATTAGCTGGTATTTCAACGATGTGCTCTTATTCGCTTCGGAGAAATATGAAATTACGGTAATGGAAGATGTAGCCAAACTGAAGATCGCTAAGGTCACGCCCAGCGATGTGGGCGTATACACTTGCGAGGCGCGCAACGAAGCCGGCGTAGCGACAAGTCGTGCTAACATCTTTTTAGGTGAGTACGGGCTCCACGTGTGGGGGAAGTGCGAAGATAGGGTGTGGTACGAGCTTGAGATAATTTTCCGTATGATTTATGGGATTATATGTAACTGTTTGAAGTGGCTTTTAAGTACTTTTTCTTTCATTACCGTATACATTTTTATTGTAACTCTATATTGTAAGCCCATCTAATAATTCTTATGTACAAATATATCTATCTATTGGCTTTGTGTCCCAATAATATATATACGCACAACACTTTTACAGTACTCTATGTACAATACACTCAGTATATTTGTAATTACAACAATATTTACCTGCTCTTCAAATATTCAAAACTCTAGAAAAAGAACAAGGCATTGCACCACAATTCACAAAACCGCTCAAAATCGAGTTCACCGAAGAGAAGGAACCCGAATTGTTGAGAGTCACTGTGACTTGTCAAGTCGTCGGCAAGCCAATGCCACAAGTGAAATGGTATCGCGGCACCGAAGAGGTCATACCCAGCGAAACTGTACAGACATTCTACAATGAAGAGACCGGCGATGTCGCTTTGGAGGTTATTAATCCGACACCGAATGAGGCGATCACATATTCAGTGCAAGCGCAAAATGATTTCGGACGCGCCATTGGCAATGCCAACATACTTAGCCGCGTCGAAGAGGCACCACTGGAGGTATTGAAACCACCTAAGGTGACACCGCTGAGTGCACAAGTTATACCGACCGGTGGTACCTTGTTGTTCGAGGCCAAATATGAGGGTACGCCACGGCCGGAAATTGTTTGGCTACGCAATGGTCGTGAAATACAAATCAATGAAGACGTTACAATAGAAACCACCGAAACTACGACCATAATCAAGATAATCAATATGAATCGTAAACGTACCGGTAAATATGAAGTATGTGCCAAGAATCCAGTTGGTGAAGCTAAATCTTCGGGTTCGGTAATGGTTACCGATCAAGCGCCCGATAAAGAGATTATACCACCACGTTTCATCCAACCCCTACAACCGAAGTACTTTGGTGAAAATGAAGTTGCCATATTGGAGGTAGTTGTTACATCCGAACCACTCTCGTCATTCCAATGGTTTGTCAATCTTGAACCCATCAAGAGCACAAACGAATGTCGTATAGTTTCGCAGGCGAACAAGTCGACACTGCTGATCGAGAATTTCCAGCGTAAATTCGTTGGTCCGTACACTTGTCGTGCGGAAAATGTTGGCGGTTCGGTTACATCGACTGCCACCGTTAAATTACTGGAAGATAGTCCACAAGAAAGCGTGGAAGTATTCGAATCGCCACGATTCGTTGAAGAATTGTTAGAGCCGATTACGGTAATGGATGGTGAGGCATTATTGCTCACCTGCAAAGTGGTTGGCAAGCCGACGCCGCGTGTTCAATGGTATCATAATCAGGAGAAAATTGTGGAAACCAAAGAGACGTTAGTATCACAGGATGCCGATGGCTTGTGTCAGTTGCAAATAACCGAAGTGTTCCCCGAAAATGATGGCGAATACAAATGTGTGGCTAGCAATAAAATTGGTGAAGCGCTAACAACAACATTTGTTAATATACAAGGTAGAGCAGCAAAATGCACAAAAGCACTTCATTCAACACTAAAACCAATTAGAAATTACAAGCATTCTAGTACAAAAACCAAAAAACAAAGCCTTTACAAACAATCCCTAAACTCCACTTCTACTTAACTTGTGCTTGTTCTTGTTCAAAGTTTAAAGTATTGACGTCTGTGTCTTCCTGTTAAACGTAGTTGAACGTTATTTAATTTTGTTTTTGCTATTTATTTATTTTTATTGTCTGTTTGTTAAAAGCATGCACTTCCCGGAAGTGAAGCACTACGCCCACTTTCCCTTTCCTTTAACTGTTTATCCATTGTATTTCTCCAAACCCCTCCTTATCTCTTTCTTTTTCGCTCTCTTTGTGTACATAAATAATTGTAGAGAATTCTTGAGATACCTTAATGTTTTTATTATTTACTAATACTGCATAAATTATATTGTTTAAATTACTATTACAAATTGATACTTACAAAGCAGTCAGGCAATACAATAACGGTTTTATAATAAAAAGAGTAGGTTCATACAAGACATGATATTCACAATATTTATACCCTGAACAGAGTATATTAAATTTACTACGAAGCTTGTAACACCCAGAAGGAAACGTCGGTGATTCTATCCAATAATATATTAATGATTAGCGTGATGTGCTAAACCGATTTAGCAATGTCCGTCTGTCTGTCCTTTTGTCTATCCATATGTTTGTCTGTATATACACAAACTATTCCTTTAGATTCTGAGATATCGATCTGAAATCTTGCACTCGTGTTTTTCTTCCCATAAAGCTGTTTTTTGATATATAGCATATACTGATGTATAGCATATACAAACTGAACGAATAAAATCAAGGTTTTCATGGACAACTTTTTTATTTGTGAAGGATGCAACCGAAGTTAACGTTTTTTTTTGTTTGTTTTGATTTTTTAGATAGGTTAGGTTTTAAAGTTTCGGTTGCCAAAACCATTTTTTCTAATTCTAGAATTTTTTCCGCTTTATCCGAGGTCTATGGTTACAACTTTTACTATAAAGTAATGTTTCGAGCCACAAAAGTTTTCAGAGTATCGTGAAAATTCACTCACTTACCCCCTTTAATCATAAATCCGGAAATTTTAAGAAAAATTAGTATACTGGAAAATATACTATTTTAGTAATGGTAATTCTGATCTCATAAACTATAGGGTGAGTATTGGAGTCCAATTAGCGATTGTAGTTAAAATCAAAAAAGATTCTAATATCTAACAAATACTATACGAAGATAACTCAGAAACAAAAACAAAGCATAGCAGTATGATATTTAAGACTATAGAACATAGTTGGTGGAATAGAGTAAGCTCATATTGATATCGTCCGAAATAAAATAAACTATCGCGTTTAGCCGTAAAAGTTATGAAGAGCAGGAAATGGGTGCAGCAAAGTCGTCAAAGGCTTGAAGAGATTTAAAATAAACTACAGCAGTGACAATTTTGACGAAGTTGAACTACGATTATGATTGCAAAACTTTTCTTTAGAAGCACAGTATAAATAGTTTTTGGGGATATCCGAATATCGAGGAAAACTCAAAACTGAGTTTTAGTAATTTCTTGAGTAATTGTATGAGACCTCTGAGAAAGAGTTAACCTTGTTGGCTTCCCATTCTCTACTTTTTTGTTTGAATGCGCGTGTAAAGCTTGTGATTCTCACTTGGTACCTCTGTTTTCTTAGAACCGCTCTTTTTCTATTAAAACTCAACTAAAAACTAAAATATATTTATACCAAACTAATGCGCATGCCTTTACTTTTATAGCATTTGAATATATCCCCGATTCTGAAATCACTGGCTCCGAAGAGGATCTCCTGGACAAGGTATATTACAACCAAGAGCGTAATTATGATATTTTTTATTTACGAGAAATTAAATTGCAGACTCTTTCAATCGACGAACAACCACCGAAAATCATTAAGAAATTACCTGAAAAAATCGAACCCAAAGAGGGTGAACTAGCGAAATTGGAAGTTAAGGTTATTGGTAAACCAAAACCCAAGGTCAAATGGCTGCGCGACGACGAAGAGATATTCGCTTCCGAGGAATATCAAATCGAAAATTTCGAAGATGGCACCTCAGTGCTGATCATCAATCACGTCTATCCCGATGATGTGGGCGTCATTAGCTTTGAGGCGCACAATCCATTGGGTGTAGCCGTGACAACGGCGCTCTTTGCGGTCGAAGGTAGGACTTACGCGTGTCATAGCATTTTGTATTATGTAGACAATTTTATTGGTATTGCAATTATGGGAATTGCATCATGTGTTTTAATATAATAAATAATTTAATAAAATTCTGATTTTCAGCAAGCAGCATTAAAATTAAATCCTTATCCTAAAAATCCACTGTACATAAATTCCTTACCTAACAGTATTATTTAACAAAAAATACATATTATACAGTATTTTTATGTCTAAGTCATTTAGTTTAAAATATTGCTAGACTAAGCTATCTTTATACATCTTATATATTATATTATATAGTACATATTTACCTAGAAGACACTTCTTTTCACAGAAAATACACAGATACAGGTTCTTAGAGCTCCTCGCTAGCAATTATACTAATTACATTCTCTACTTTACCATTTTTTTATTATTAAAAAAAAAATCAAAAATATATTTAGGCATCGTTGGAACTAAGGACTACCGCAAACCAGAATGGGTAACGCATATGGAAGAAATGCAGAAGGCGCTTAAAGGTAAGCTGCAATTTTTTAAGTCATTACAAATGTATGCCAGTTTCATGTGAACTGGTATAAATTTTGTAAAATTCTCTCTATATTGTACTGTGTCTTGTTATCCTTTCTATATAAATATATGTGTATATGTGTTTTAATCTACTTCAACAAACAAATTAGCAATAAATAAATACCCTAATACTTCTCTGTTTCAAAAAAAAAAAACAAATTTATACGAAAAAATTTGAAAATACCCCACTGTCGCTATTTTCTATGTGTTTCTATCTACTTTTTCACACTGTACTGTTATGTCCAAGTCCAAAAAAGAAGCAACAAATATATTAACTTAACTTAAAAAATGATATGCGACAAGTAACGTTAAAATTCTATTAAAATAATAATATACATACATACAGGTACATATTAATAAATGTATGTATGTATTTCCTTATGTATAAATCAAGCTTTTTATGTGTGTGTAACGTAAAAGCTAGCACCATAAAGCCATAAAAGCTTACCCCCAAGCCCCATCCTAAATAGTGAAAATTATATATCAATACTAGCCACAAGCCTCCAGCCCCCAACAAACAAAGTATACGCCATAAATCAGTTTTCGATTACATTTTAGCATTACAACAACAACAAAAAGCATTTTCGTAAAGTACCAACATATCTTTTTTACAGTATATACAGTTAAATCACTGCTCATCAAAGAAACATTGGCATCGTGAATTCGAAACTAAACAAGTAGTATTGACTAACAACTTAAGAAAAAAAATCACACTAAAAAATTAAAAAATAAAAATTTTATTTAAAAAAAAACTTCTATTAAAAAAAGAAATAAAAACAAATTTAGACAAAAATAATAAAAAATTGTTTTAGAAAAAGAAATTGTTTTACTAAAAAATTACTAATTAATTCAAAAAATATTTATGAAAATAGTAGTGTTTGAAAATTTTGCTTTACTAACAGAATATATCCCATTCCAAACATTTGTTGAACTCCACTTATCAAATTAGCGCTCTTTAATACGCTATATATTTATCACTAGCTTTTACGGTGTTTCAGTTATACATATTGTTTCGTTGTTGTCACTAATGTTTTCAGCATCTCTTTTGCTTCATTTCACATAAATATGTACATACAAATACAATATATTTTCATAGACTATGGTAAACCTCGTAATATTTTTTGAAAACAGAGAAACATTTTCACAAATAGTTATAAAAATTTAGTCATAAAAAAACTTACAGAACACTGAAGACACGCCTCAAGTAAGTACCCACGAACATAAGGAATATTTAAAAACTAAAAAACAAACAATTTTTTTGACATATTTTTTATGAAAGAACACAAATAATACAGCACGCACAGCATATTTTCGAAAACTTTTAATAATTTTTGCTACACACCTTTACAGTTAGTAAAGTAAATTAAAAAATAATAATAATAATAATTAGCAAGCTCCCAAAACCGTAGATCTAATCGAGAACCTTTTATATATGTTAAAGTTTTCATAAAATAAACCTCCAAAAAAGTGAATGGAATTTTTAATATATTTTTAAACAATACAAAAATATATTTTTTTTTCAAGTAAAGGCTGATTTCAATACCATTCCAGCCGTTTGATAGCTGGAACCACAATTTGTTCTGTAAAATTAATTCAATATTACAAAATCGTCAGATCTGGTACGAACTTTCTCTAAAATAACAATTCTAATAGATCTTTCTATGAAAATGAAGATCAAGATGTAAATGTTACATAAGAGAGTGGAGTATTAGTTAGCTTTTTATGAAGGTTAAATCACTCAGAAATTCAATATTGTCTTTCTGGAATAAGCTAATAATCAGAAAACGCTTCTTGCAGATTCAGCTTTAGCTTGATATTAGAACTAAGCATTAAATGGTTGGGTTTCTAAAACAATTTGTAATAGCATAAGAAAGATACTCTAAATTCGTAAAACTATTTTAGTGATCAGCTTTTATCCATTTATGTTATAACATGGACTTCAAATAATCAAATTCAATACAAAAATCAAAATTAACTTTAGATCACGAATTGTTAAAAAAGTGAGGGTAATGGTTAGATGTAACAAGACACTTCCAGAACCAGAGCAGCCGAAATGAATAAGTATATTCTTGATATCTATATATATCATAACATTTATTTTCTTTTACATCAAAAATAATCTTATATTGTGTAGAACCCTAACATACAATTGTGTACTCTTCTCCAAATACAGTTTCCTTAAACGTTACAATGACCGCAATTCTGGTGTATTTGTGTACTAAACAACTATACTCTATATAGTAGTGGCACTATCTACTTTCTTCCCCTATGTCACACCACCACTCCCCCTCCAGCTCGTCCTTTTAGTTATAAGTGAGCGCTGTAAATTAGCTTAGCTTTATCTAAAAACTATGAAACTTGCCATTATCTTTGCTTGTAGCCGCTAAATGCTCGCCATCGATAGTAAACGAATTGCGTGATTGCCGTGCAGCCACCGGCCAAATTGCCAAATTCGAAATTCAATTTGCCGGAAACCCCAAACCAGGTACAGTATTGCCACATGCAATAAGTGGTGGACATATAACATAGAACGCCAGCAGCTAGACTTAGTGGCACTAACAAATATATTTACCTTTTCTAATTGCATTAGATATACAATGGTATTTTAACAATGTACAGCTTAGAGAATCTAACAAATATCGCTTGCGCGTCGAAGAGACCATAGCCTCGTTAGAAATACTAAACGTCACTTATGAAGACATCGGCTTCTACACATGCAAATTGATCAATGAGATCGGTATGACTATGTCGCGTGGCAAATTCGATCTTGCCACAGCGACAACAACAGTCACCGAAACTGAAAGCGAACAGAAATTGAAGAGTAAGAAGAAAACAGTTGTGAAGAAATCAACTGCCAAAAAGTCCAGTGAGCAACAGCAAAAACTGCATAAAACTGAAATAACAATTGTACCCACTGAGGATAGTGATGTGGAGACCACCGTGAATGTGGTTAAAGTGCAACGTCCCGTTTCGGTATTGGTCGAAGAGAGTGGCGTTTCCGAAGTGATGGAAGTGAAAGATCGTAAAATTGCTGACGCTGAATTGTTGGCCACACAACAGCAGAGTAAAACTACAACAACAACCACTACAACAAAGACCACCGAAACGATTGAGATCACCGAAACCGTACAAACGATACGTCAAAAGATCTCACAGAAGATCATATCGATTGAAGATCTGCTGGTGATACGACAACATGAGGAGATCAATGAATTGCTCGAAACTATTGATGCCAGCTCCTTTGGCTCGACCGGCGAGGCAGCGTTGCGTGATTTAGCCAGTATTGGAATGTTGTTGCGTTACGGTTGTACAACTTATGAAATTATCTATATGTATGAGCAGAATATTTTCATTTCCTTGCAAAAGGCTGAATCGCAAGCGGCCTTAGTGCAATTGGTCGAACGCGAGGGTCACGAAGAGTTGATCACACAAATACTAGGTGAATCGACGACCGAGGATGAGACCGTGCTCGCCGCTACCGTGGGCTTCAAGGCATTCATACGCATGATCGAGACGTGTGAAATAACAATTGAGACAGTGATTAGGCGCTTTGTAAGGGAAGATTTTATATCGCAAGACTGGACGATATCCGCAAAAGAGGTTTGCTACGCTTTGCATGTCATTGTGTTTGACTCTTTTGCTTTTTGTATGTATCAATATACCATAGCATGTAGGTTTAGAAATTAAGAGGTTAGTAACTTTAGCATAGGATATTCGAGTAATGAGGTTTTTCGTTAGGTTTCATAGTGTTTACCATACAAATTAAACCTTTCTTATTTGACAAGATATATACACGAAAATTTGCATAGATTATTTTCCAAGGCAATGCCACAATCTTCTAAACAAATTGTTCCTATTGGACCACTATAGCATATAGCTGTCATACAAGCTGATCCGTGAAAATCAAATCATTGTATTGAGATATTTTTTAATTGACCATATATCTTTACGAAACTTAACAAGAATTATTTTCTAAGCCAATGCTATAATTTCCCAACAAATTGTTCAGATCGGATCATTATAGCATATAGCTGTAATACAAACTGACCAAACAAAATCAAGTTCTTGTTATGAAAACTTCTTTATTTCACAAGTTATATTCACAAAATTTGGCATAGGTTATTGTCCAAGGCAACTCTACAATCTTCGAATATATTTTTCAGATCAGACCACTATAGCATAAAGCTGTCATACAAACTAGCCAATCAAAATCTAGATAAAGATCTTTTATGCTATAAGAGATGTACTTGTGAAGCGTATTATAGCTTTGGTGATGTCGAAGTAAATGTTTTACTTTTTATATTTCATTTTAAAATTATTGTTAAGTTAGGTATAAAAAGATAGCAATTTTAAGTACTCACCGACATAGACAGTAAAGAGTCATAGGAACTGAGAAGAAGTCTTTGGTTAGCAAAACTAGCACTACTAGGCTAGTATTTTTATTTTTCAAACAAACTGTATTGCACAAAAAGATATTGTAGTTTAGCAATATTGAAATCACATTTGCGAAAACTCTGTAATGAAAAAGAAATAAATAAGAAATTAGAGCGCTAACTTTCAATTATAATTTTTAATTTTTTTCATTATTAATGCTTACTACTATAATAATATAAGTATAAACGCATTATCTGTATATATTTATGTATATAAATATGTGATTCTTCTCTTTCCGCCTAACACTTCTAACACATGCGCACACGCACATTTAGAGGACAATTGAAACGTCGCAAATAATTGAAAGTCACGAAGCCATAACGCATATTAAATACGGTAAGCAAGAGTTAGCAAAAATTATAACATTATTAAAAAAAAAGCAAAATATTAAAATTTTTTTTATATTTAGACATAAGACTTGTAAATCGCTTTAATGGAAATGCAAATTTTCTTTTGTTGTTTTTTTTTCATTTTTATTTCGTATGCGCAATGAAATTTGCTTCCAAAAACCGCTTGCTTGTCGCTTGCCGCATAATTGCCAAATGCCAAATGCCACCAAAACCATGTCAAATTAACAGAGGAAACATTCGTCGAGGAGCGCACGCTAGTCGTCGAAGAAGGTTTGAATATAGAAACTGTAGAAACTGTAGAAATTGAAGAATTGTAGAATGCCCAAAAAAAAAAATAAAAATAAAAATAATTAAATTAAAAAATAAATTTAAAAAACTGTAGTAACCAAAGCAGGCCACCAAAATCCAACAGTGTCTCCACCAAAAACCAAATATTGATTAAAAATTAATGTTTCAAAAAATTAAATATAATTGTAAAAAATTAAAAAAAAATAATCAAATCAACCCAAAATTATACCAATTACATATAAAATAATTTAGCATTAATACATACTTATATAAAGAAAAAGTAATAATACTATTAATAGTAATTTGTTTTAACAATAAAAACAACAATAATATTAATCAACTCAATACGAAAGTTATCTTTTCGCAGTGAATTCTCAAAAAATTTACAAAATTTACAAATTTTCCCCCACTGAAGTCACTACTTACCATCACTACTATTACTACTGGCGTCCATCAGCCGTACAACTAGTGCTAATGCTAATACCAAATACTACTCTTGCTATTATTTATTACTACTAATTTTGCTACCAACTGTCCTACTACGAATTTAAGTACCAAAAAAAAAAAAAACACGAAAAACAATAATAACAACTATACCACATGTGTACAAGTGTAGTTACTTCAAACTCTTTTTGGAAGGCTGCGTCTCAGGCAAATCGTAAGCGTAATGTGTGAACGCCCTTCGCCATTTGCACTACTCTTTTCCACTCGCATTGCACGCCTGCGCCGCCGCGCTGTTATCATATAAGCTTTACTGCTACTATTTAATTTTCAATTTTCTTTAACATTATTCTTAAGCTTTCTTCCAGCTTTTAAAATTTTTCGACTATATATTTTATGCTTTCAAACTATTTTTAAAATTTGTTTACTAATTTTTACTATTTAACTGCCAATATTAATTTTTCATATTTAGTACTTTTAAAGCCAGTTTAGCCGCCTATTGCTTTTTAATGCACTTGCTTTTAATCCATAAGCTTCATTTTCTAAGCTATGAACACAGTACAGTACAAAATTCGTACAACAACAACAAAGTAAACGTATGTAAGTAATAAGGTAAGCACTTGGTTGAATCTAAGTAGTAGATGTATATGTAAAGGTATAAGCGAAATTGTTTGTCTGTAAAACAAAAGCAAAAAACCGAACCAAAAAAATATACTTTCATTTATACCTAAAAGATATTTTCTATATTCATATTGTATGTCGTATCTCCAGAGTACATTGTATATGTATGCGCCGAGGTCTATGTGAAGCTCACAGCTTTTATTGTACCATATCTAACACCAAAACATTATAGGTTATGATTAAAAATGCAGATTCCTTACAAAAATTGTTGGAAAATAATCAGGAGAAATATTTTTTTGCAAATAATAATTTCCAATCCCATATATCACTAAAATTAATGAATAACAATTTTTTTTTTTGGTCATGTGAGTAGTGTCAAAAAAAAAATCTGTTAAACAAAATAAAAATCAGTTCATTAATTTCCAAAAATTAGTTAGAAAACACTTTCGACTTTACAATCCCTTCATAGAACAGCTTATAGAATATATAGCATGCTTATTGAATATATAGTTGGATCAATCTTTTCCACAAAATCAGCTGTTCAATGACGTCACTTTAGCTAAAGTTTCTTGCGAAAATTACTACCACGATGATGAGCTAAAATTAACACACAATTTCCTTTTTATATAAAACTAGTTTTAAACTGAGGGTTTCGACGTTCTAACACGGAAGTTATAACAACCTTCTGATTAGCAGAACAGGTATTTAACCATTGCCTTTGGAAACCAAAACTCGGCTTCCTTGAAATCAGCCACGAATCCATCAGGTATACTACACAAAGATTTTCAACGGGCTGTATAAATTTAACAATTCAATTAACTGGCTTCCGTAATCTCACTAAGAGATCAAAATGTTTAATTTACATGGGTTATTGTATATTTTGCCTTTTTCGGAGGATTTGATATCCTCCTTCTCAGTAGCAAACCGAGACCCGAACCCTCCGGAGTTCTTAAGGGGGCTCGGTGCTCTGCAAAAATGTTTTACCTGATTTTTTTCTCCACTGGCCCCGATTTTCTCTTTACGGCCCTGCTAATACGATAAATGTATATAAGTATACATAATAATACACTGAGAATGGACCCGTACTAACTAATATTTACTATTTGCCAATCTACAATTAACAAAAATCGATTGCTAAAAATATTTTATTGCCATCATTCTACAATATCTGGGAATGAAACTGTTAGTAGTTTTTGTGCCAACTAAAGTCGAGGATTATTTACTGTGTCAGGTTAAAACAAAGTTCTTCCAGCCAATTAAATCAGCTTTCTGATGACTACAATTTTGTAGTATGTAAAAAAAATATCGAGCTTTGCCTAAAGTTTGTTAAAGGGATTCATCCTGCCCAAATAGCCGGCCTCATAAGCTCAGCTTTTGGCCTCTGATTAGTTTCTTAAGTTTCTTAAATAGCAGTATGTGACAGCAACCAGCGACTTTCTAATTTAGCGATAGCTTGGTTTCAATTAACTAATTTCAGAATCAATACACTCTGGTGGATTTTCAAATCCATTTCATATTCTCTCCGGTATTCAATACGAGAATCGCTACGTTTTCATAGACTAACCTCAAAAATCTTAGTTGAGAGGCTTCAAGTAAAATAAATGAGAAAACACACGCTCTTGGAAAAGACAAGCACTCTCTAAGCAAAAGATGTCATTATACAAGTATAACTTTTACGAAATTATTCAATATATCAGAGTTTTTAGGGAAACAGTTTTGCAAGATATAAAATTGCGTTTTGGTACAAACACATCAGGATGTTGTTTTTTACGATATCTTAAAGAGCCAAAATCTGATTTTTTCATAAACTTTAATTAATTTTACTTATATATGCTACAAATTAGCCGATAAGGAATCTGCATTATTTTTTCTAAATTAGCTGTACATATTTATGCTGCCCTTACATTATTACCACACACCAGAGAAGACTATATACATATCTTCAACACAATTTCTAACCAAATCTGCAAGTTTTCTAAAACCAAATTACTGACACTATAACCAATGCCACAGCGAATAGCGCGCCACCACCAATACTTACAAAGCAACTACATACTTACTGACATATGTACGTATGTACATACAAACATACGTATAAACATAACCATCATTCTCTCATGAGCACGACAAGTTTTTTACTTACTTACATTCGCATTCGCAGAAACAACAGCACCTTTGATAGCCACACATGTGGATGAGAAAATCATACAACAACAACAAGTGCAACAACAACAACAGCTACTATTAGTAGAACAAGAACAACATGAACAAACAGTTATCATAAAACAACAACAACAACTACAAGCGGAAGAAGAAATTCTTATTAAAAGTGAAAAAATTAAAAAGAAGAAAAAGAAAGTATCACAACAACAACAAATAACTCAAGAAATTCAAGAAATTGTAGAAAAGCAAGCCGAACAGAAAGAAACTCGTATTCATAAAGACTTACAAGCACATGAAATGCTCGAAGATTTCTACACCACCGACACAGTTACGAGCATACAATCCGAAAACATACCATACGAAACCATACAGATTCAAACACTATCACAAGAGACTATCGAAACAACAGCGCTAACACAAGTTTTACAGGTGTCCACAGAACGGCCCGAGGCGAAAGTGGCGCATGCCGATATCGCGCCCGTCAAGACTGTGGCAATACAAGAGGAATCGAGTATGCTCGAAGTGGAAGAAGGTCTAAAGCCGCAACGTAAGCGACCAAGTGAAAAACTGCACGAAAGCATAACGGAAGTCACGCGTCGTGCCGCCGAAATAACTGAAGTGGAGACAAAGCAAAACGCAGTTGAACTGGTAAGCGAAAGAACGCCAAAAGTGGCGCAAGCTCAACCGACTGTGGATAAAAGCGAGACTGTATTGGTGGAGAAGCCACTAATAGAAGATACATTTGAAGATTTGCCAGGCGCCAAAATGTCAGAAGAACATGTTAAGCCCACGCTGGTGCCACATATTTCACAACAACAATTGGAGTTGACAACCGTCGACGCGTTGGGTGATTTGCCCGCAGATATATTGCGCGAAAAGCCAACTGAGAAGGCTACAACAGATTATGTGCCGCATAAGAGTGTCATAGTAGAGCAATTGGTAAGTAGTGAGACTACTGGAAAGCATGTTATTAAAAAGAAAGTTGCTGAGAAGCAAATACCAATCGGTGTGGTGATGGCTGAGACAAGCGTTGAAGTGGTGGAAGTGCAACCGCAGGATACGACGGCAAAGTACGACACGCCACATATAAAACAAGAGGATGCAGTGCAGCCGACGTTAGTTGAGCATTTAGCATATGTAGAGAAAGAGGAGAAAACTGTCGATAAGGAGGATGTATTTAAGAAAGCCAAATCGCCGCTAAAGTTGACGGCAAAGGTGGAGGTCACTGCAGAAACTGTGCCATTAGAAGTAACACAAAGTGAGACGGCTGATACTGTACTGGAGCTCAAAGCAAAGAAGATGCCGGACGCCAGCAAAGCTCTTGAGAACTTAATAGTACAACGCAGCTTGATTGGTACACAGCCAGACCTGCAAAGCCCGTTGGAAGAAGTGCCTAAAACGGATATCATAATCCAAAAGGCCGTGGGTAATTTGACTGAAAATATACATGTAGTCGGCGCTGAAATAACCGCGCTCGAAGAGAGACTAACGGATTTAATACCCACCGTAGAACCCAAGTTGGCAATCGCAGAAAGCGAACGAACGCACAGTCTGATTATAGGACAAATAAGTGAAACATTAACGGAAGAGCGCACGGAGGCGCTCGAACAAGTAACGCCAACACCAGATACTTTAACTAAAACAGCTATAACCGCCGCCAATGCGGTAGCGTTACGAGCCGAAGACTTAATTTGTGATGCCACTGCGTTAGTTGAAAGCACACAACCTAGCGAGCAGCATACGAAACTCGGCTACGAAGGTGCTGCCCCTGTAGCTAACATAGGCGCTGTAGAGACGCATGATAAAGAAATGACACTGCCGGCACAAAGGCCCAAAACAGCCGAAGCGAGGTACGGCTACGTTGAGCAGACCTCATTATCGGTCAAAACAGATCTAATGTTTGAAGCGACAGGTGACTGGCAGTCTGCGCTGCAACCAATTCGTCAAATCGCAAGTCATAAGCAAACGGAAATTAAGTTAGCCGCACCGAACGTGCTCGAAGTACAGCCGCAAGTAATATCTGAGTCATTAGAAACAGACACGCCGAAGCAAGTCGCCGCCACAAAAACAATCGACACCATATATGGTGGTTTAAGCGAAATGCAGGCTGTCCTAGAGACACATACCGAACTTAAAGAACAGGAACAGCAGGTCGAGAAAGCGCTAAAACCACTGCCCGGCAGAGAAATGCAACCATTAGCTGTTTACGAAATACAAATTACGGAAACGGATCAAAAACTAACTTTGCCTGAAAAACCGGTCATGCAAGCTCTACACGAAATCGCACCCGAAACATATACACCGCTCGAGCGGAGCGAGGTTTTAACTTTAGATACGACAAACAAAGTCGAAGAGCAAATAAAACCACACACGGCTCAAGCAGAATTTGGCTTACAAACAGAGCGCAGTACAAAAGTGCAACAGCAAACAGCATTGGATGCCGTAGATGTGCTTGTAACGGAAGAACTACCAGTCAAGCAAACAATTAGCAGTGATATTGAGTTATCACAACCATTAGAGATCATCACAACCGCCACGCATGACAAGGAGTCAATATTAACACAAGTCGAAGCGCCTGCCGCAAAGGAAGCACTAACGATAACCACAGACACATTGCCGGTAGCCGATACGGAGAGCACGCAACCCATGGAAGCTTTCACGGCGCTCGACGAAACACAATTAGATAAAAAGCAGGCACACTATGGTTACACCGAAATAATATCAACAGTGCAAACAAAGGATGTAACCCTAGAAAGTACCCATGAATACACAAGTAAACAAGTGCCCACAGATGCTGTCGCCAGTATGGAGTTAGTGTCGCATAGGAACGCGTTCGAAGTGATCTCGACCAACTTCAGCGAGAAAGAAGTAACACTCAGCGCTGACGTGCCGCTCACCAAAGGGCCAGCTGAGGTGAAAATAAACGAATTAACGCAAAAGAGTGCCATAACCCAAGCGCCTTACGTGCACGAGAGTGCCGGTGAGCTAACGGGTGTGGAATCCTTGGAGACCACAGGCAAGCCGACGACTGATAGCAGCTATGAAATCTCAATACAACAGGAAAGTGTCTATGAGAAGGAAGCCTCACTCGAACCATATCAAATAGGTAAAGAATTTGCGGCAACAGTTACTTTCAACACCGAAGATGCTAAAGTAATAGAGCAGAGCTTAATGTATGAACACGAGCAGACGTTCGATAAAGTACAACCGATTGCGGTCAACGCGCAAGCGGCACCACCAACGGAGAATTTAAAACTGCCGTTAAGTGAAAATGTTTATGACTTGGAGAGCGTGGGCGCAATCGACAAGCTGAAACTTACGACAAGCTCGGCAATCTCGCAATATCAAAACCTAAATGAAACTATTATTTCGGAAATAATTGCTTACGAAGACTCAAGACCTGATGCAATGTTGCTGCAAAAGCATGTCGAAGAACCGCTTGAAGCGGCTGTAACACTCGCCGAACATGCCGCAATCGCCAGCGAAAACATTATTATAGAAGATGCACAGCTCTACGAAGATAAGCCAACATTTACTAAGAAAAACGCAAGCGAAGCAACAAGCAAGCAACAAATGCATGCGCCATTGCTACAAGAAACAAACCTACTTGATGCCGCGACAGCGCTGCCAACGCAAACAGAGCTCAGAGATACGGCAAAACCGGGCGCGGAGCAAACATTACTCACCACGAATGTTGTTAAAGAGGAAAATATATACGAGCAATATAAGCCTGTGCAGGATCAAGAGACACAGCCCGCGGCACATGCCAACATCGGACACGCCACACAACAACTGCCTACGATACAAGCTCCAGAAATAGCCGAGAGGGAAGGTAATCTGAAGTTGCCAAAAGCAATCGCACCACAGCAAGCGAATGAAGCGGACTTGAGCAAAACTTTAGGACTACCAATAGTCAGTGAGACTAATGCAGCTGAAGCGCCAAAGCTGCTAGAAACGGAGGTTGCAAGCCTAACGGAAGTAAAATCGACGCTTACCGGTGCCCAGCATGAAGTTCAGACTACACAAGTGCAAACCTACGAGCAAACGGATGAATTGTTAACGCGTGACAACGCGCCTACCGCTCAAACAAATGTGAATTTAGAAAATATACCAAGACCAGCGCAGGTCGAGACCCTCACCGACGTTTACACCAAAGAAGGCGATTTAGAGCGTTTTAAGGGCGATAAACAACATGCGAAACCCTATGTGGAGGGTATGTACACAGAGACCATAACAAGTGATGTGACAGCGTTTGAAAAAACCAATGTTTTAGATAAGATCGTCTTCGAAACTAAGGCGGCTAAGCCGACCATTGATGGACAACAACAGTTACAAGTCGAGCAGCTGGATGTAGTGTTAGATAAGGAAAACACCTTTGAAATTAAGGTTAAAACACAAAGCGCCAAGCCTTATATAGAGGGCACGCAACACGAAACGCTCATCACGGAGATGGCAGCTGCAGAGCAACTAAGCGATTTGCCAGTGGGTCTGGAAAAAACAGATAAGACAGCACGTCAACAGCTGGTAGAGGAGAGCATGCGCCAAGCACAAACAATCAGCACTCAAATCTTATTAGAAAAAGAAACACCAACAAGCGACGCCGAGCCAATAAAGCACGTAGCAAAGCCACTAACTGACACAATGCAAAATGATAAAATCATCGCCGAGCTTACGCCCTACGAAGGCGTGTTGCCGTTTGAAACCGCCGATGGCGCGCAACCGCAGCATGCCAGCGCCAGCCTAACAACAACATTGACACACAGCCAAATCACAACACTGCAGGAGACATTCACCAAAGAACAGCGCCTGACAAGCGCGCAGCCCGAGCAACTAAACGCTAGCTTAGTCGCAGCGCAGAATATAGCGCACACGACCGAGGAAACGATAGGTCTAAATCTGATAACAGAAACATATGATTTGAAGCAACGGCCAGAGCGTATAGCGCACAGCACATACGCCGATTTGAACGAAAGTAAGACAGTGACAGAATCGCTATCGTTTGAACAAGCGACTGCGCTGCAATCAGAGGAGCGCGCAACTCAATTGCTCACCGGCAGCACTGTGCCAACAGACCAAACCAAATCGGCGCAGAAAACAGACGTAAATATTTACGAAAGTATCCAAGAAGAAGTTGGCGACTTTAAGCCACATACCGTGGCAGGCATAGAGAGCAGCATTGTTTTGCGCGAACTTAAAGCGCCCCTCATCGATGAGATTACAGTGAAACCGGCACTCGAAAGCATGTTGCCAAGTATGCCGAAACACGAAACAGCAACAGCGAACACGCCAGCGTTTGATAATTTAAGCGTCAGTGCTCAAATAGCTTATGAAAGTGCTGCTGTGATCACAAGTCAGCCGGCGGTAGATGAGCGCAAGGCACAGTTACGTGTGACAGACACTCTCGCACAGACAACCATGATGGATGTACCAATTGTTAACGAAAGCGCAGCTCAGCTGCAGGATGTTACACATACCGATGAGCATGCCAATGTTAGCATAACAACACAACATAGTACGTATTTGCATGAACAAACCGAAATACAGGATAACCTCAGCACATTGGACACACACACAACACCAACAACGGCTGCGGCCGAAATGACAGTTATGCCACAGTATGCGCTAGCTGGTAGCAATGCGCAAACATTCGAGCATGCAATTCCCCATACCACAGTTCTTACAACAACAACAATAACACCACAAAGCACTATAACACCAACAACAACAAAAACAGCGCTGCAAACAACACAATTTATAGCGGAACACCCGGATACACACGAAGATACTGCAACCGAAACTGATCAAGCTATCAGCACTTATCAGCCACACATCACATGCGATCAATCAATTGTTGTTGAATACGAAAAAGAAACAACACTTAAAACATTACAACAAAAAGCACAACAATTACAAACCACAAGCGCTCATCCAAATTATATATTACCGATAGAACGTGAGGAAATGTTAAATGAGTGTGTCTCCAATTTAAAAGCAGAAGACAAACCGTCAAAAGCCTTAAAAACACCAATCACAAAGAGCGGTGTTAGTGAGTCTGTAGAGGGAATAACTGTTGAGGTAGTACCAGCATATCATACAGTCGATGACATACAACCAATTAGTATAGCACACGAAAAACCTAAGTACATACAAGAAACCATGAAAGACAAATTAGAAAAAGTAGAAACACTAAGTGTAAAAACCGATTTCGGTAAGTACAAAATATTCTATGTTAGGGAAATTTCTATATGGCGTATTACTTTTTCCGACCCCATCGAGCCCTTAAATCTGAACAAAACACATATTACACACAAGTTTAGTACTAGAACAACAAAAAATAACAACCAACAACATAACCATATTAACCAAATACATTCTCTCACACAGACACACCGAAAACATCTCACACTACAGAACACAAAACACAACAAAAAACACTTATTCCCGAAGATGAAAAAACAACTGAAATGCAAGAAGCAGTACGCATCAATGAGACAATCTCCGATGAAGGCAAACCCAAAAAACGAACAATACGCACTCGTGTCATAAAAAGAATCAAAGGTGGCAAACAAGAAATCACGCAGATCGAAACCGTTGAAGAAGATGATAAACAACCACAAACCACAGTCACAGTTGCAGAGATACCTGTAGAAGAAGCACCCGCGGAAGTTACAGAAATGCCCGAAGAGGTGCGAGTGGTTGAAACTATCTCCGAGGACGGAAAACCAAAGAAGAAGAAGATACGCACTCGTGTGATTAAGAAGCTCAAGGGTGATAGACAAGAAGTCACGAAGATCGAAACTGTTGAAGAAGACGACAAACAACCAGAAACCACAGTCACAGTTGAAGAAACAGCTGTCGACGAGGCACCTGAGGAAGTTAGAGAAATGCCCGAAGAGGTGCGTGTGGTTGAAACTATCTCCGAAGACGGTAAACCAAAGAAGAAGAAGATACGCACTCGTGTGATTAAGAAGGTCAAGGGTGGCAAACAAGAGGTTACGAAGATCGAAACCGTTGAGAAGACGATAAACAACCAAAACCACAGTCACAGTTGAGAAACCCTGTAGAAGAAGCACCGAGGAAGTTACAGAATGCCGAAGAGGTGCGTGTGTTGAAACTATTCCGAGACGGAAACCAAAGAAGAAGAAGATACGCACTCGTGTGATTAAGAAGGTCAAGGGTGGCAAACAAGAGGTCACGAAGATCGAAACCGTTGAAGAAGACGATAAACAACCAGAAACCACAGTCACAGTTGAAGAAACCCTGGAGAGCACCGAGGAATTAGAGAAATGCCCGAGAGGTGCGTGTGGTTGAAACTATCTCCGAAGACGGTAAACCAAAGAAGAAGAAGATACGCACTCGTGTGATTAAGAAGGTCAAGGGTGATAAACAAGAGGTCACAAAGATCGAAACTGTTGAGGAAGACGATAAACAACCAGAAACCACAGTCACAGTTGAAGAAACCCCTGTAGAAGAAGCACCCGAGGAAATTAGAGAAATGCCCGAGGAGGTGCGTGTGTGTTGAACATTCCGAAGACGGTAAACCAAAGAAGAAGAAGATACGCACTCGTGTGATTAAGAAGTCAAGGGTGATAAACAAGAAGTCACAAGATCGAGACGTTGAGAAGAGATAAACAACCAGAAACCACAGTCACAGTTGAAGAAACCCCTGTAGAAGAAGCACCCGAGGAAATTAGAGAAATGCCCGAGGAGGTGCGTGTGGTTGAAACTATTTCCGAAGACGGTAAACCAAGGAAGAAGAAGATACGCACTCGTGTGATTAAGAAGGTCAAGGGTGGCAAACGAGAGTTACGAAGATCGAAACCGTTGAGGAAGATGATAAACAACCAGAAACCACAGTCACAGTTGAAGAAACACCTGCAGAAGAAGCACCTGAGGAAGTTAGAGAAATGCCCGAAGAGGTGCGTGTGGTTGAAACTATTTCCGAAGACGGTAAACCAAAGAAGAAGAAGATACGCACTCGTGTGAATTAAGAAGGTCAAGGGTGAAACAAGAGTACGAAGATCGAAACGTTGAGAAGAGATAAACAACCAGAAACCACAGTCACAGTTGAAGAAACCCCTGAAGAAGCACCGAGGAAATTAGAGAAATGCCCGAGGAGGTGCGTGTGGTTGAAACTATCTCCGAAGACGGTAAACCAAAGAAGAAGAAGATACGCACTCGTGTGATTAAGAAGGTCAAGGGTGAAAACAAGAGGTCACGAAGATCCAAACCGTTGAGGAAGATGATAAACAACCAGAAACCACAGTCACAGTTGAAGAAACACCTGTAGAAGAAGCGCCCGAAGAAGTTAAAGAAATGCCCGAAGAGGTGCGTGTGGTTGAAACCATCTCCGAAGACGGTAAACCAAAGAAGAAGAAGATACGCACTCGTGTGATTAAGAAGGTCAAGGGTGATAAACAAGAAGTCACAAAGATCGAGACTGTTGAGGAAGACGATAAACAACCAGAAACCACAGTCACAGTTGAAGAAACCCCTGTAGAAGAAGCACCCGAGGAAATTAGAGAAATGCCCGAGGAGGTGCGTGTGGTTGAAACTATTTCCGAAGACGGTAAACCAAAGAAGAAGAAGATACGCACTCGTGTGATTAAGAAGGTCAAGGGTGGCAAACAAGAGGTTACGAAGATCGAAACCGTTGAGAAGATGATAAACAACCAGAAACCACAGTCACAGTTGAAGAAACACCTGTAGAAGAAGCACCCGAGGAAGTTAAAGAAATGCCCGAAGAGGTGCGTGTGGTTGAAACCATCTCTGAAGACGGTAAACCAAAGAAGAAGAAGATACGCACTCGTGTGATTAAGAAGGTCAAGGGTGATAAACAAGAAGTCACAAAGATCGAGACTGTTGAGGAAGACGATAAACAACCAGAAACCACAGTCACAGTTGAAGAAACCTGTAGAAGAAGCACCCGAGGAAATTAGAGAAATGCCCGAGGAGGTGCGTGTGGTTGAAACTATTTCCGAAGACGGTAAACCAAAGAAGAAGAAGATACGCACTCGTGTGATTAAGAAAGTCAAGGGTGATAAACAAGAAGTCACAAGATCGAAACGTTGAGAAGAGATAAACAACCAGAAACCACAGTCACAGTGAAGAAACTCTGTAGAAGAAGCACCGAGGAAGTTAAGAAATGCCCGAGGAGGTGCTGTGGTTGAAACAATTTCCGAAGACGGTAAACCAAAGAAGAAGAAGATACGCACTCGTGTGATTAAGAAGGTCAAGGGTGGCAAACAAGAGGTTACGAAGATCGAAACCGTTGAGGAAGATGATAAACAACCAGAAACCACAGTCACAGTTGCAGAACTACCTGTAGAAGAAGCGCCCGAGGAAGTTAAAGAAATGCCCGAAGAGGTGCGTGTGGTTGAAACCATCTCTGAAGACGGTAAACCAAAGAAGAAGAGGATACGCACTCGTGTGATTAAGAAGGTCAAGGGTGGCAAACAAGAAGTCACGAAGATCGAAACCGTTGAAGAAGATGATAAACAACCAGAAACCACAGTCACAGTTGAAGAAACACCTGTAGAAGAAGCACCTGAGGAAGTTAGAGAAATGCCCGAGGAGGTGCGTGTAGTTGAAACCATCTCTGAAGACGGAAAACCCAAGAAGAGGAAGATACGCACTCGTATTATCAAGAAGGTCAGGGGTGATAAACAAGAAGTCACAAAGATCGAAACCATTGAGGAAGATGATAAACAACCAGAAACCACAGTCACAGTTGAAGAAACTCCTGTTGAAGAAGCACCTGAGGAAGTTAGGGAAATGCCCGAAGAGGTGCGTGTGGTTGAAACCATCTCTGAAGACGGTAAACCAAAGAAGAAAAAGATACGCACTCGTGTGATTAAGAAGGTCAAGGGTGACACAAAAGAGTTACGAAGATCGAAACCGTTGAAGAAGATGATAAACAACCAGAAACCACAGTCACAGTTGAAGAAACACCTGTAGAAGAAGCACCTGAGGAAGTAGAGAAATGCCGAGAGGTGCGTGTGTTGAAACATCTCGAAGACGGAAAACCAAGAAGAGAAGATACGCACTCGTATTATAAGAAGGTCAGGGGTAAACAAGAAGTCACAAGATCGAAACCGTTGAAGATGATAAACAACCAGAAACTACAGTCACAGTTGAAGAAACACCTGTTGAAGAAGCACCTGAGGAAATTAGAGAAATGCCCGAAGAGGTGCGTGTGGTTGAAACCATCTCCGAAGACGGTAAACCAAAGAAGAAGAAGATACGCACTCGTGTGATTAAGAAGGTCAAGGGTGGCAAACAAGAGGTTACGAAGATCGAAACCGTTGAGGAAGATGATAAACAACCAGAAACCACAGTCACAGTTGAAGAAACTCCTGTTGAAGAAGCACCTGAGGAAATTAGAGAAATGCCGAGAGGTGCGTGTGTTGAAACCATCTCCGAAGACGGAACCAAAGAAGAAGAAGATACCACTCGTGTAATAAGAAGGTAGGGTGATAAACAAGAAGTCACAAAGATCGAAATCGTTGAGAAGATGATAAACAACCAAAACCACAGTCACAGTTGAAGAAACCCCTGTAGAAGAAGCACCTGGGGAAATTAGAGAAATGCCCGAAGAGGTGCGTGTGGTTGAAACCATCTCCGAAGACGGTAAACCAAAGAAGAAGAAGATACGCACTCGTGTGATTAAAAGTCAAGGGTGGCAAACAAGAGGTCACGAAGATCGAAACCGTTGAAGAAGATGATAAACAACCAGAAACCACAGTCACAGTTGAAGAAACACCTGTAGAAGAAGCACCTGAGGAAGTTAGAGAAATGCCCGAGGAGGTGCGTGTAGTTGAAACCATCTCTGAAGACGGAAAACCCAAGAAGAGGAAGATACGCACTCGTATTATCAAGAAGGTCAGGGGTGATAAAAAAGAAGTCACAAAGATCGAAATCGTTGAGGAAGATGATAAACAACCAGAAACCACAGTCACAGTTGAAGAAACTCCTGTTGAAGAAGTACCTGAGGAATTAGAGAAATGCCCGAAGAGGTGCGTGTGGTTGAATCCATCTCCGAAGACGGTAAACCAAAGGAGAAGAAGATACGCACTCGTGTGATTAAGAAGGTCAAGGGTGGCAACAAAGAGTCACGAAGATCGAAACCGTTGAGGAAGATGATAAACAACCAGAAACCACAGTCACAGTTGAAGAAACACCTGTAGAAGAAGCACCTGAGGAAGTTAGAGAAATGCCGAGAGGTGCGTTTAGTTGAAACCATCTCCGAAGACGAACCAAAGAAGAAGATGATACGCACTCGTGTGATTAAGAAGGTCAAGGGTGATAAACAAGAAGTCACAAAGATCGAAACCGTTGAGGAAGATGATAAACAACCAGAAACCACAGTCACAGTTGAAGAAACTCCTGTTGAAGAAGTACCTGAGAAAATTAGAGAAATGCCCGAAGAGGTGCGTGTGGTTGAATCCATCTCCGAAGACGGTAAACCAAAGGAGAAGAAGATACGCACTCGTGTGATTAAGAAGGTCAAGGGTGGCCAACAAGAGGTAACGAAGATCGAAACCGTTGAGGAAGATGATAAACAACCAGAAACCACAGTCACAGTTGAAGAAACAGCTGTAGAAGAAGCACCTGAGGAAGTTAGAGAAATGCCCGAGGAGGTGCGTGTGGTTGAAACCGTCTCCGAAGACGGTAAACCAAAGAAGAAGAAGATACGCACTCGTGTGATTAAGAAGGTCAAGGGTGATAAACAAGAAGTCACAAAGATCGAAACCGTTGAGGAAGATGATAAACAACCAGAAACCACAGTCACAGTTGAAGAAACCCCTGTTGAAGAAGTACCTGAGAAAATTAGAGAAATGCCCGAAGAGGTGCGTGTGGTTGAATCCATCTCCGAAGACGGTAAACCAAAGAAGAAGATACGCACTCGTGTGATTAAGAAGGTCAAGGGTGGCCAACAAGAGGTAACGAAGATCGAAACCGTTGAGGAAGATGATAAACAACCAGAAACCACAGTCACAGTTGAAGAAACAGCTGTAGAAGAAGCACCTGAGGAAGTTAGAGAAATGCCCGAGGAGGTGCGTTTAGTTGAAACCATCTCCGAAGACGGTAAACCAAAGAAGAAGATGATACGCACTCGTGTGATTAAGAAGGTCAAGGGTGATAAACAAGAAGTCACAAAGATCGAAACCGTTGAGGAAGATGATAAACAACCAGAAACCACAGTCACAGTTGAAGAAACTCCTGTTGAAGAAGTACCTGAGGAAATTAGAGAAATGCCCGAAGAGGTGCGTGTGGTTGAATCCATCTCCGAAGACGGTAAACCAAAGGAGAAGAAGATACGCACTCGTGTGATTAAGAAGGTCAAGTGGCCAACAAGAGTAACGAAGATCGAAACCGTTGAGGAAGATGATAAACAACCAGAAACCACAGTCACAGTTGAAGAAACAGCTGTAGAAGAAGCACCTGAGGAAGTTAGAGAAATGCCCGAGGAGGTGCGTGTAGTTGAAACCGTCTCCGAAGACGGTAAACCAAAGAAGAAGAAGATACGCACTCGTGTAATCAAGAAGGTCAAGGGTGATAAACAAGAAGTCACAAAGATCGAAACCGTTGAGGAAGATGATAAACAACCAGAAACCACAGTCACAGTTGAAGAAACTCCTGTTGAAGAAGCACCTGAGGAAATCAGAGAACTGCCCGAGGAGGTGCGTGTAGTTGAAACCGTCTCCGAAGACGGTAAACCAAAGAAGAAGAAGATACGCACTCGTGTAATCAAGAAGGTCAAGGGTGATAAACAAGAAGTCACAAAGATCGAAACCGTTGAGAAGATGATGAACAACCAGAAACCACGTCACAGTTGAAGAAATCCCTGTTGAAGAAGTACCTGAAGAAATTATAGAAATGCCCGAAGAGGTGCGTGTGGTTGAAACCATCTCCGAAGACGGTGAACCAAAGAAGAAGAAGATACGCACTCGTGTAATCAAGAAGGTCAAGGGTGATAAACTAGAAGTCACGAATATTGAAACCATAGAAGAAGATAAAAGGCAACCGAAAACCACTATTACTATTGAGGAAACTCCTTTCGAGACCGTTGAAGAAATGCCCGAAGAGGTGTGTGTGGTTGAAAGTATCTCCGAAGACGGTAAACCAAAGAAGAAAAAGATTCGCACTCGTGTAATTAAGAAGGTCAAAGGTGATAAACAAGAAGTCACGAAGATCGAAACCGTTGAAGAAGATGATAAACAACCAGAAACCACAGTCACAGTTGAAGAAACTCCTGTTGTAGAAGGGCCCGTGGAAATTAGAGAAATGCCAGAAGAAGTGCGTGTGGTTGAAACTATCTCCGAAGACGGTAAGCCAAAGAAGAAGAAAATACGCACTCGTGTAATAAAGAAGGTCAAGGGTGACAAGCAAGAAATCACAAAGATCGAAACCGTTGAGGAAGATGATAAACAACCGGAAACAACTGTCACCATCGAAGAAAAGCCGTTTGTCGAAACTATAACACAAGCACGTTTAAAGAAAAGAATTCGTGTGCAGAAACCCACCGACGAAGTATCTATCGTGGAGATGCCAGAGCAGAAAACGATTGTCATGTCTGAAAAAGAAGATGGGACACCGACAAAGAAAGTTATTAAAACGAAAATTATTAAGAAAATTGACGGACCAAAAATGGAGATCACCAAAGTTGAAATCATAGAAGAGTTCGAGAAAACGCCAGTGACTAAAGTGACTGTACAAGAATACGATGAGCCGTTCCCGGAGGAGCAGCCAACAAACGAAACTATTGCGCCGATACCAATGCAGGAATTGCCGGAGGAGATCATTGTCTCGGAGATTATAAATAAGAATAGAAAACCTAAACAAAAAATAACAAAAACCCGAACATTTAAGAAAGAAGTATCGCCAGAACCTGAATTTTATCAAATCCAAACAATTGAGGAAGAAGGAAAAGAACCGTCTTCGCTTATACGTGTTGTTAGTGAGGATAGCATTGCGGATATAATCGATATTAGCCAATTAGACGATGAAAAGACACCGAAACAAAAGAAAACCAAAACACTACACAAAACCAAGGGTAAGAAGATTACACAATACAACACTACAGCAATACAGTATCACTTAATATATTTGTATACTATGAGCTCGATAATTTTTGAAACTAACATTTTTAATGGCCATTGCAAACGTTTACTTATTTAACTAAAAAAAAAAGAACGAACAACAACAATATTTATATATATATTAACATTTCATCAATATACAAACCTTTATTAGAGGAAAAACCTACACCCGAACACTTAACAACGGAAAACCCAGTTTTCGTTACTACATTCAAATCGGTACAAAATGAAGATGGCGAAACAGTTATTGAAACAGAAAGTAAGAAAATAACTGAGGAGGAAGGCATCGTCATCGAAGAAGTTCTTAGCGATACCGAGCCAGTTATATATGATGATCAGACTGCCTTAAAGAATGTTGAAATTGTAGAAGTCGACGGATACACAGGTGAATTATTATACATACTATTATTAAACTACATACGTACCTCTATACATATTTACAAACAATTTATACAATACACTGAAAAAAATTGTCTTATGATGATATTTTTTTGTTGCAACATTGTAGATATTTTTTTTATTTGATAATTTTTTGTTTTTTAATATGTACATATTGAGGTATCAGTATTTCAAAATAAGTATGATTGCGTAAGAGCGCTTTTAAAAAGTGAAAGCAGAAACAAAACAGAACCAAAATAAAAAGTCGGTTAACGTCTCCGCCTATTTCTTTTTATTTAAATTCACGTCGTTTGTGTTGCACATTAACCAATATTCTTATGAATGAAGACTGCACAACATGTCTACCTAGTTTTAAGTAGCTTATAGAAAATTTACAGTTACTTAGTTAATAGAGAAATGAAAAGAAAAGTGCTACCGATACTGTTTAGAGCTAACTAGACCCAAATTTTCTCTTGTATAGACCAAGATAGCAAAGAGTACACAATAACAGAACCAGATGATGTCCTTGAAGACATTACACAAACACCAGATACAGATAAGAAAACGAAACATAAAATTAAGAAACAACAGAAAACTACACATAAATCATTTGAAAATATCGACGAAGCACCCGAAGAAGTAATTATAGAATATATGCCTGAAGAGGTGTACGAAGTGGAACGACCGGTTGATGTGGATGTGGTCGAAGATGAAGAAAAAGAAAAGATTTTGGTTGAACCGAAAATTACAGTGGTTAAAAAGCGTAAGATTAAAAAGAAGATCGACGGTCGTGAACAGGTTATTGAAGTGGTTACTACGCAAGAAGAAGGTAAGGAGGAAGAGAGTACAGTGATTGTTCATTCGGAGGATGATGAGAAGCCGGAGGATTTACAACCGACAGTACAACAAGTTAAAATCGTTGAAGAGTTGGTTGATACTCCGCATGCAAAGGTTGATGAAAAGCCGTCAATAAAGAAGAAGCGTAAGCCGAAGAAGGTGGTAAAAAAGGATGATTTGGATGAATATATACAATTCCTGATAGAACAAGAAATACCTAAAACGGTGCTACAAGAATATAAGCGTACGGAACTAGAGCAGCCACAGAAAGCGCGGAGCGATACGACGCCTACGACGAAACCCGTCAAATTAGTGCCAATGAAAATCGAAAGTATTGAGGTGAAAAAATCGGAGAGAATTGAAATTACATCGGTTGCAGAATTTCCGCAAATGTTGAAATTGAAGAAACCGAAACAGAAACCTAAAGAAGAGAAACCAAAAAAGGACGCAGCTGCTTTTAAGAATTTCAAATTGAAAAGCTGGATTAATTTCATACCATTTGCACCATATTGCTTTAAGCCTACTATAACCGAGTTGGAACCGATACGCGGTTGCGGTGAATTATCACGAAATATGGAGGAAGCAATGGTTGTTATTAAAAAGCGACGCGTTAAAGTTAAACACAGCGAAAAACCTGAAAAGGAGCTGGAAACATTGGATCTCGAAACATATGAAGAAACGAAAGTGGAAGAGGAAAAACAACCAGAAAAGGTGGAGAAATATAAACGACCAAAGAAGGTGACAATGGAACAAACTACTGACGTGCCAAGGAAGCTAAAACTAGGAAAAGGAAAGGTGCCTGAGAGTGCGGATGATATTGAGCAGATTACTTTGAAACCAATATCAAAGGATGTAACAGAAGATATTGTTGAAGAAACGGCCGAAAAGCCAACCGATGAGAAACCAAAACGAAAGAAGAGAGGTCGTAAACCGGGTGTTGGTGATACTTCCATACAATTCGAACCACAAAATTTCGATGAGGTGGAATCTGATGAAGAACAGATTTCAGAGGGTACGGAAACATCGCAACCGGAAACCGATACAACATCAGAGAAACCTAGATACAAACGTAAGAAGAAGATAACGCCACAACCAGAGACAATACAATATCCTATCAAACCGCAACAACCAAAAGAAACGGAAGATACTACGCAACCGGAATTGAAATTGCGTAAGCCACAAGGTGATAAACTTGATGTTGAGGAGGAGGGTATTAAGCTTAAGCCATACCATAAAATTGAAATACTCGAATTGGCACCTGAGGACGCTGAACAGTTGGAGGCACTGGAAGCACCGGTAATGGTTAAAAAACGTACAAAGAAGATACGTAAAATTAAACAAGAAACTCCTGCTGAAGAAAACATAATAGAAATCATTGAAATACCAGCTGCAAATGTAAAAGATGAACCTACGTATGAAGTTACGGTAACCACAACAGATATCAGTGAGTCCACTGAGAAGCGTGTGAAACCTAAAACATTGAAAAAGAAACGCGTCAAGTTAATGAAGGAAGATGAACTCGATGACTTCATTGCCGAATTGACAGAGGCGCCAGAAGATAAAATTTATGATTTCAATACCGTGGACTTCTACGAAATTAAAGTACAAGAACTACAGCCAGAATTCATTGAAGAAACTATTGTAAAGGATGATGGAAAAATAAAAACAGAAATACGCAAAAAGCGTAAGCTACTACATAAGAAGGGCGACGAGGAAAAGGTGATCGAAATTATCGAGACCACAGAATCAACGCCCGATTCAAAGGAAACTCTTTATGAAGTGCTTGTTGTGGATACCGAAGAAGTGCTGTCCACTGATTCAACAGCAGAAAAACCGAAGAAGAAAAAATCGAAGAAGCTGAAAAAGGACGAACTCGATGAATATATACAAAAATTAATCAACGCCGAAATTACCAAAACCGAACTCGAAAAGTATGAGAAAATCGATGTGGACGGTAAACCTAAAAAGCCAAAGAAAATAAAGAAGGTGCCACAAAAAGCGGTGCTTGAAATACCTGACACATTGGAAGTTGGCGTTGTAGAGTCTGCAGACTCAAAGGAAGCACCAAAACAGAAAAAACCGAAGAAGAAAATAGCACCTTTGGAGGAACAGCCGATAGAAGAAGCGCCTGAGGTGCCAGCAACTGAATTTTCAGTTGAGGTTAAAGACACTCTGCCCAGCAAAACAGAAAAAGAGGATAATGTGGAAGAAGTGATAACGCCAGAAGAGCTTCCAAAAGTGCCAGAAAAGGCTATAGATGATGTGGTAAGCATTGTAGAAATCTCTGAAAATGTTGAGGTCGTCACAAAAGAAGAAACAAGTGGTGAAATTAAAGAAGAAACGATCACAAAACGCAAATTTAAGAAGAAGAAGGGTGGCAAGGTTTACACTGTAGAAGTTATTGAAACTCAGGCCAAGGATGAGCCTGAAGCCGAAGTAACTGTAATAACAACAGAAGATGTGAAGAAAACAGCAACACCACAGCCCGAAACACCAAAACGTGTGCCTAAGAAAATAACTAAGAAAGTCAAAAAGGAAGAACTTAAGGATTACGTTATGAAGGTTGTTGAGGAAATGCCAGAAGAATTTGCAGTGCAGCCCAAAGAATATGAAGAAATTCCGGAACAAGTTGAAAAACCGGTAGATGAAGATGTCTTTTTCAGAACAACTGTAGTAGAGGAGGCAGCCGATGAAACGGAAAAGCTAATAACTGAGGACGTTTCTCCTATTAAAGAAGATGTCGCAGAGAAAAAGAAGAAGCCGAAAAAGCCAAAACAATACAAAATTACAGAGACACAACCAGATACTCAGGAAGAATTGCCACAAAAGATTGAAATACAATCTGAAGAGGAAATCGATATTAAGGAAACTCCTATGACAGATGAATATGTTATCAATGTACAAGAAAAACATATAAAGAAAGTAAAGAAAGCAAAACGAGGCAAACCGAAAGAGGAACAAAAAATTGAAGAATATGTTGTACGCATTGAGGAATCGATGCCCGAAGTTACTACCACAGAAATCGTTGACGAACAAGGAGAGATTACGAAACAAACAACAACAAAACGCCGCCTTAAAAAGAAAGAAGGTCCCAAAGAGTATGTTATAGATGTAGTGGAAACATTTGAAGAAAATAAACCCGACGAAGTGGAGATCACTGTCTCAACAATAGAAGTCACACCAACTAATTTAACGGAACCTGCAGTAGAACAAACTAAAATTACTAAAAAGTTAAAAAAAAAGAAATCACCAAAAGACAATTTCGACGAATACTTACAACAGTTAATAGAACAGGAAATAACGAAAACGGAATTGGAAGAATTTACACCAATCGAATTTGGCAAAACACCAAAGAAACCGAAAAAGAAAACTAAACATCACAAAAAAACAATTGAAGTCATGGATGGAGTAGCTGTTACAATACATGAATTCGACGTAGAAGAAATACCCAGCGAAGAGGAGGAAGAAATTGATGAACCAATCGCTGAGGTAGTGATAGAAAAGGACCAACCTACACAACAAGACTATCAAGATTACAGAATTGGTGTAACCGATGAACAAGTTGAGCCAATGAAATTTGATGAGATAATAACTGAGGAACGTCCCACTAAAGTTAAAAAGCCAAAGAAACTTAAAACTACAATTATAGAGGAAGCTCCTGTCACTTTGGAAGAAATTGAACAAACTGTTGCAACGGTCAAGGAGACCGATGAAACTGGTGAAGTCAAAGAAAAGACAGTTACTAAACGTAAAGTCAAACGTAAGCAAGGACCCAAAGAATTTGTTTTCGAAATATCGGAAATAAGTGAAGGAGCAGATCAACCTATAGCCGAAATAACAATTGTGCAAATAGACGAAACTCCTGTAACTGTTGATGAGGAAAAACCAACTAAACCAATTAAAAAGATAGTAAAGAAACCAAAACATGTACCAAAAGAAGATATACAGAACTATTTAGTAAATGTCATCGATGAATTCGTAGAACACGAAATAGTGTCCGAAAATGAGGAAGAAATTGTTGAAGCACCAATGGATGACATCAAGAAACGCATTTCTAAGCCCAAAAAGCATAAAGTCAAAGTCACAGAAGAAGACGTACAACCAGTTGAGGATGTACCTGAAGATCAAGTTGCATTAGTTGAGGAACCCACTGAAACTGTTGATAAAACGACGGACGAATACCAGATTGACATTACCGAGTCGACAGTCTACGAAAAGCCCACCAAGAAGATTACCAAGAAAATCAAGAAACAGAAATCGGACGCACAAAAACCAGATGAAGATTCACCAGATTTTATCGTACGCGTCTCATCGTTTGAAGAAACCCCCGAAGTTGATGTACCTGAGGAGCAAGTAATCCAAACTCAGTCAGAAGAAACACAACCTGTGGACGATTATAATATTGTTGTAGAAGAAATAGAAACTACACAAGATGTACAGGAAATTGTCGAGGAAGGCGGTGGAAAAGTAAAACAGACAACGAAGAAACGTAAGATCAGGAAAACAGTTGGACCAAAAGAAGAAATAATAGAAATAATTGAGACACAATTAGACAACTCACCACTTGCTGAGGTGACCGTGATAGTGCAAAATGTAGAAACATTATCAGATTCTAAGGAGGAAGATAAACCACAAACTAAGAAGCCGAAGAAAACAAAAACGGTTAAAAAAGATGATCTTATTGAGTATATCTATAAATTAATTGAAGAAGATATACCAAAAACTGAATTGGAGAAGTATGAGAGAGTTGATTTGGAGGAACCAATAAAATTGAAAAAGAAGAAGAAACCAGAAAGAAAGGTAATCACTGTAAAAGAAGAAGAACCTGTAAAGGAGCAACTTGAATATTTTGAGGTCGATGTTACAGATGTCGAAGAGGTAAAACCAAAGAAACCAAGAAAGAAACCCTCTAAGGATGTAGTAGTTAAGGAAGAGGATATATCATCGCCGCAACCCGACGAGGAGGTTTCTGTTACACTGATTGAAGAAGATATTCCTAAAAAACCAAAGAAGAGCAAGAAATTGCCTGTCTCTATTACAGAAACTACACCTCAGGAAGTCATAGATGAAGAATACAAAATAGAAATCATCGAGGAGACTGTCGAAAAAGAAAAGACGACCGATGAAAATGGTGAGGTCAAAGAAAAAATTGTTAAAAAGAAAAAGGTTAAGCATACTAAAGGACCGGAAGAAGTAGTACTAGACATTATTGAAGTACACGATGAGAGCAATGATGAAGCTGAAATCACAGTCATAGCCACAACGCCCAGCAAGGACAATGACACACCACAAGAGGTACAAGTTAAGCAAAAGAAAACTAAGAAATTAAAAACAAAAGATGTACCCGAGTATATTGCCAAAATCGTAGATGAAATTCCAGCAGAAATATTCGAGGAATACAAACACGACGAAATTGAAGAGACTCCAAGAAAACCGGAGAAAAAGCCAAAGCTTAAAGTAAAACAAACTGAAGATGAAGGTGTCAAAGGAGAGGAGAAAGTACATGAATTCACTACAATGGTTGGAGAGGAAGAACCAGTACAGCCCGACGTAACAGAATATGAGATCACAACAGTTGAAGAGAAGGCTAAACTAAAGAAAAAGAAGCCCACTAAACCGAAAGTAAAAATAACAGACGAAGAAAAACCTGAAGAGGAGAAACCGGCTAAAGTAACTGTTAAGGAAAGTGAAATAGAAAATATCGAAACCATACCGGATTCGTCCGATAATATAAAAATTGTGGAAGCTGATAAGACCTCTCCTGAGGAAAAAGAATATACGGTAACAGCAACAGAAGAAGAATCTAAGCCAAAGAAGAAAAAGCCAACTAAACAAAAAGTTAAAGTAGTTGAGGAGGATAAAATAGGGGACGCACCTTCTGATACAGTTACGGTGCAAGATACGGTACCAAAGGATATCATTGAGGAATCTCCAGAAGAAGACGAAATAAAGATAACAGAAGAGCAACCAGTAACTGAAACTAAAAACTTCGAAGTAACAGTAACAGAAGAACAAACACAAATAAAGAAAAAGAAACCAACTAAACAGAAAATTAAGGTTGTTGAAGAGGACAGCCCCGACAAGGTGCCGTCTGAATCAATTGCAATTCAAGAAACGGTACCAAAGGACGTCAGTGGGGAAACTCCATCAGAAGAGATAAAAATTACCGAAGAACAACCCGCATCCGAAACTCAAGACTTCGAAGTAACAGCCACGGAAGAGCATAAAAAACCAAAGAAAAAGAAACCTGCCAAAGAAATAGTAAAATATGTTGAAGAAGACAAGATTGAGGATATACCGTCTGAGGATATAAAGATTGTTGAAGATCAACCTGCTTCTGATAGTGAAGACTTCGAAATAAAATCAACTGAAAAACCAACAAAACCAAAGAAAAAGAGGCCGACTAAAGAAAAGGTTAAGGTTGTTGAGGAAGATAAGCCCGAGGACGTACCTTCTGAAAAAATTTCTGTTCAAGATACACTGCCTGAGGATGTAAATGAAGAAACTTTTGTTGAAGAAATAACAATTGCTGAAGAGCAACCTATCGACGAAACAAAAGACTTCGAAGTAAGAGTAACGGAAGAACAAATAAAATCAAAGAAAAGGAAACCAACTAAACAGAAGGTTAAAGTTGTTGAAGAGGAAAAACCTCAGGATATATCTTTTGAAATAGCTACGGTCGATGAAGCCGTACCTAAACCAGTTCACGAATTACCAACTGAGGAGGTAAACATTGTGGAAGAACAGCCAATTTCCGAAGTTGAAGATTTCGAAGTATCACCAACTGAAAAACAAGAAAAACCAAAGAAAAAGAAACAGACCAAACAGAAAGTTAAAGTTGTTGAGGAAGACAAACCTGAAGATATACCTTTTCAAACAATTACAATCGACGAAGCAGTTCCTAAACCAGTTGAGGAAATACCATCAGAGGAAGTTAACATTATGGAAGAACAGCCAATTTCCGAAGCAGAAGACTTCGAAGTATCACCTACTGAAAAACAAGAAAAACCAAAGAAAAAGAAACAAACTAAACAGAAAGTCAAAGTTGTTGAGGAGGACAAACCGGAGGATAAACCTTTTGAAATAGTTACAACTAATGAAAAGTCTCCTGAAGATATCGAAGAAACTACGGCAGAAGAAATAAAGATTACGGAAGAACAACCTGTTTCTGAAACTGAGGACTTTGAAATAACCGTAACTGAAGAGAACGCAAAACTCAAGAAAAAGAAAACAATCAAACATAAAGTTAAAGTCATTGAAGAAGACAAGCCTGCAGAAACACGTACAGATAGTGTTGATGTTTCAGAAACTGTAGAACAAGTCGAGGATCAGCCAATTTCAGAGATCGAAGATTTCGAAGTAACAGTAACGGAAGAACAGACAAAATCAAAGAAAAAGAAGCCCACTAAACAGAAGGTAAAAGTTGAAGAAGAGGTTAAACCTAAAGATATTCCTGAAGAACCAGTGCATGTAGAAGAAATCGAAACTAAAACGGAAGTAAAAGAAATTGTTGATGATAAAGGTCATGTACAAAAACAAATAGTAACCAAACGAAAATTGAAGCGTCAACAGGGACCCAGAGAGGATGTAATCGAAATAATAGAAGTACAAACCGCTGACCAACCCGAGGCAGAGGTAACCATCATCGAAACACAACCAGATAAGGAAGAAGAAATCACTAAACCCAAATCACAGAAAAAGAAAGTAAAGAAAGTCAAAAAGGATGATTTGCATGATTACATCCAAAAATTGATCGAAGAAGAAATACCAAAAACAGAATTAGAAAAGTATGAAAAAATCGAATTTGAAACAACACCAAAGGTTAAAAAAGAAAGCGAAGAAATTGCCGATGTTACAGTAGAAGAAGAAACACCACAAGCAACTACAAAACCAGAGGCGAAGAAAAAGCCTAAACATAAGAAACCACAACAAAACGTTGAAGAACAACCACTGGCCGAAGTACGTATTGTAGAACAGCCATCGGACGATATCGACGAACCAACAGCACAAATTAAGATTATTGAAACAGCAGAACCAATTGTTGTTACAGAGGAAACACCAGCTGAAATCAAAGTCGAGGAAATAACAGATCAGAAGGGAGAACCAATTCAACAAGTCACCACCAAACGTGTACTCAAAAAGAAAGAAAAAGGCAAAAAAGATAGCACAATAAACATAATAACTGTACAAGATGACAATAGTCCCGAAGCTATTGTCATTATAAGTGAAGAGCCAGAAACAGCGCCCACAATTCTCGAAGAAGAACAACCAGAACAAACTGTACAAACCACAGAACAAAAACCAAAGAAACCTAAAAAGACAATCAAGAAAATTAAAAAGGATGAACTAGATGAATATGTGCAGAAACTAATTGAAGAAGAAATACCAAAAGTAGAACTTGAACAATACGAAAAACCTGATCTGCCAATAGTAAAGAAACCGAAAGAAAAGAAAGAAACCACTAAACCACAAGACACTGAAGTAGTAGAAAAACTAGAAGCACTCAAAGACAGTGAAAAACCAGAAAAACCTAAAAAAGCAAAGAAACCCACAACCACTGAGACCACACAAGTCGTAGAAACACCACTTACAGACACAACAGACGAGATAGTTACCGTAGTCGAAGAAACCACTAAACCCAAAACACGTAAACAGCCTAAACAACAACAACAACCACAAGAAACACAGTTAGAGGACACAGAATCAACAACAACAACATCGGATACCACTGATACAAAACCAAAAACAATTAAACATAAGCCCAAAGAACAAAAAATCACTGAAGATACAAGTAAGTGCATTTGCGACTTTTGTTGCTGCCGCCACAGCAAGTGTTGCCATGCTCAAAACCTTCGTTACACATTTTTACTTTCTACTTATGTACTGTCACTTATGTAAAAAAAACAAAAAACCCCTTTGCATAAAGCAAGCAGCCTTTTATATTTTTAAACTATCTGTTGTGCCTACTATTTCCCCTTTTTTCTGCTACTGAGTTCCCAAATACTACATGTTGAATACTAAACATTTTACCTACAACAACAAATAAACATAACACACTATTTTTAGGCCAATAAAAAACACAAAATTAATTTTTAAGCAAAATGTTGTATGTAAAAAAATTTTCTGGGCTAAGGCATAAATGCTTAAAGTTGAGAAAATTATTTTGCACTAATTCGAAAATTTTAAATATATTACCTTTCACTTTTTTATATTAATAATTTCAAAATAAATTAATTATTAATTTAAAATTATTATGAGATAAAAAAAATATTTATATTACATATTAAACATAAACCAAACTAAAACTAAATAAATAAATAAAAACTTGAAACATACATAAAAACAATTATTTTTTTAAATAAAAAGTAAAAACATTTAAATAATTAGACATAAAAAAACTATATAAAAAGAAGTAAATTTAAAAAATACTTCAAAAATACACTCGAAATTTTTTTAAATTTTTTAACTTTCTAAAATTTAATTTCAGATAAAAATTAGGAAAAATACAACTTTGTCATAGGAAGAAAAAAAAATATAATTTATTTGATTAAAATTTTAAATTTCTTAGAAAAAATTTTTTTTAATTTGATCAATAAACTTATAGAACTACTTTCCTTATTTTAAATTTAAATTTGAAATAAAAATTTTAATTATTCAAAATATATGGTATATAAAAAACATTGATAAACAAATAAACATAAAATAATTAATTAAAATAAATATTAATTAAGAAAATGCTTAACAAACATACACAAAAACAATTTAAAATACTTCTTTTTTTAGATAATATTTAAACAAATATTTAAAGTGACAAGAAAAAATATTAAATATAATTAATCAAACCATTTTTTTTAATTAAAAATTTTAACTCGTTTTTTTTTCATTACTTAAACTTTTAAACTTAAATATAAAAATAAAATATATAATATACTCAGGGTTGTAGTAAGTTTTGAAAAATTACACTATTGAAATAAAGTTGAGAAATAGTTACAATTAAATTAAATAATACTTTATTGATCAAATAAAGAAATAAATAATATATAAGTATAAAAAAATGGTTTATATTTTTTATAAAAATAATAAAACTTATCACATTAAAAAAAAAAAACAAAATAAAAAAATAAAAATGAAATATACATAAAAAAAGCTTTTAAAAAAATTTAAGTATTTATTCAAACTGTAAATTTTTAAATTAAAAAATTTTAATAAATAAAATTATATAAATTTGTATAAAAATATTAAAAAATGTTTAAATAATTTAAATAATTTAAATATAAAATGATATTTTCTACTTAATTTAAACAAAAAACTTATTTCAATTATAAAAAAGTAAACAAAAAATATGAAAATTATTATTATAAAATAACTCTAAATACTGAAATACAAAAAACCATTTCAATTAAAACAAAAAAAAAGTATAATAATAAAACAACAGAAGAAAGTCAGATAATTCAGAATATATATTTTTTCATATTAAATTATATATATTAGCAAAGTACCCCAAAAAGTATATATATATATATTATATATTTGAATAAATATGTAATGCATTTTAATAATAAAGGAAAAAAACTAAAAATCTGGAAGAAAATTTTAAAATTACAATTTTCTAAAAAGCTATGCGCCAGGACTAATCCATTTATGCCTTAACCTCTAAATATATTTCTTCTTTATATATAAACTATCACATTCCAATCATATTAAAAGTAGACTCTACTTATAACATTTTTCTGTCAAATGCACTTTTTCTTTCCCCTTATTTATTATAGTGTTCGTCCGCTTATTTTTGTTTCGTCTAAAAAATCAAAACCTTTATAAATAATTGTGTTTGTCTTTAAGAAAGTAGTTTTAAGCCTATGTGTTCTTTTATCTTGTTAATGTTATTATAATTGTTGAAAATATGAGTATTATAAAAAACAAAATCAATACTGTTTTCTCCCTAAATTAATTGCCATTTTTCGCATTTCTGTATTGCATTTGTACTCCTCTTGTCCGTCCAGCTTCGTTTTCCTCGTTATACATTAGCTAATAAATGGAAAATATCCACTACTATACATTAGTAACGTTTTGCTGTATATATGTGAAAAGCCTATCCACAAGGATATAAAACAAAAAAAATCGTTTTTTCCAAAAATATTGTTTTATTTGTATCTTTGTACTCATATATGTATGTTTTATATATTAGGAGAAGAAACGGTGGTGCATAAGGATTACGAGTTCAGCATTGTGGAGCATGAACCAACGATAATAGAAGAAGAAGAAGAAGAGGAGGAACGGCCATTACAGGTGAGGATCATCGAAGAGGTGCCCGAGGTAGCGGATTCCCATCCGATTGAAGTGATAGAAGAGGAGCAACCAGAGGAGGAGGAAATAGAAGTACCCACTGTGGGTGAGCAGGAGAAACCTAAAAAGAAGAAGAAGACTGTAAAGAAGAAAATCGACGAGCATGATCTTATCATACAAAAACTATTGGAACAGGACATTGAGAAAACCGAACTTGAGAAATATGAGAAATTCGAGTTTGAGAAGCCACAAAAGGTTAAAGCCGAATTTGCTAATATTGAGCCACAGAAAATCGTACGTAAAGAGCAGAAACCAACAAAATTGGTTATTGTGGAGGCAGCAGAGCTGCCACAATCTATTAAGTTGAAGCCAACCAAACGCAAGCCAAAAGTAGTCGATGAGCAGACCGTACAATTGCCTAAATTCAAGCTGAAGAGTCGCATGGAAGTAGTTACTTACCCACCAGAACTATTGATACCGAAAATAACGGAAATCGGTGCGATACGGGAAAGTGGTGAGCTTACGCGTAATATTGAGGAAGCTGAGGAAATTTTGAAGTTCAAGCCACGTAAGGTAAAGAAATTGAAACCAATTAAAGATGATTTGGAAAGGCCACAGCTAGAAACATATGAGAAATATGTAAGCAGTGAAGAGGAGGTAGAAGAACCGACACCTTATCAGAAACCTGAAAAGGCGCCAAAACCAGAACAAAAACCGCAAGAAGTTAAACTGAAGATAGGTAAAGGAAAGAAGAAGCCCATCGCTGAGGAACAGCCTGAAAGTGTGACTTTGAAAAAGACACCGGAGAAACCGAAAGAGGCTGAAGTTGTCGAAGAAGATGTTACCAAAAAGGAGGAAGTGGCAACAGTTACAGTGGTTGAAGAAACTGCAAAACAGCCCACTTATGAATTGCAGCCATTTGAGCCAACCGACTTTGAACATCCAGAGTACGAAAAGGAGGAAATTGAACCCATCGAATTTTCTGAAGAACCAAAGCCAAGCAAGAAGGAACCCAAACAAAAGCATAAGCCTAAGCCCAAACCAAAACCTGAGCCAGAAGTAAATATAACACAAATTGTGCCCGGTGTGCCTAAAGAACAAGAAGAGGCACCTGAAGAGGAGGTTAAATTCCGTATTCCAGAGAGCAAAGCACCTGAAGAAACAAAAGAAGAAGTTAAACTAAAACCAGTAAAAAAGGAAAAGGTAGTACCAGCAACCGAAGAGAAGGCTAAGGTAGTTCCCACCGAAGAGGAAGTCGAAAAAGTGCCTACAATCGAAGCTGAGGAAAACATTGAGAAGAAAAAGAAGCCGAAAGCAAGAAAACCACAACAAAAGCAGGAAGAAACTGTGGAGGAGAAACCGGAGGAACAATTTGAGATTTCTATTACCGAAGAGGAACAAGTAATTGTACCAGAGCAGCCAGCTGAAGAGAAACCTGCTGAAATCAAGATTAAAAAGAAGAAACCTAAGGAGGTACCAGTGGCTGAAGTACAAGTAGTTGAGGAAGTTCCTGCAGAGGAAATCATAGAAGAAACACCAGTTGAGTATAAAATTACAACCACTGTCATTGAACCTGAAGAAGCGCCTGAAGAGCATAAAGTACGTGTTATTGATTACGATCAGAAGGAGGTTACTGTAGAAGAAGTGGTTGAAGAAAGGGTGGTTACACGCAAGAAGAAGCCGAAACCACAGAAGCCGGAGGAATATGAGTACACGGTTGCGGAGCCCAAAGAAATGGAAGTTCCAGCACAGGAGGAAATAATTGCAACCCAGCCTGAGAAGCCAGAAGAAGAAATTATTGAAGAAGCGGTAGTGGAGGTAAAAGAAATAATTGATATACCCGAAGAACCAATTGCGAAGGTCAGCATGAAAAAGAAGAAGCCAGCTAAGAAACCTGAGGAAGCAACTGAGGTTGAAGAGGTACCTTTAATCGAAGAAGTTAATGAGGATATAACAGAAATAGAGAAGGTTGAAGATATTGTCGCTGAAGAAGTTATCAAGAAAAAGAAGCCAAAGAGCTATAAATTTAAATTAACTGAAACAGAAGCTGAAGAAGTGCCCGAGCAACCGGTTGAAGAAATACAAGAGGAAATTGAGATACCTAAGCCAGTAGAGGAGAAAATTGTAGATTTCCCAACATACGAAATTACGACAACAGATATAGAAGCTGAGGTTCCACAGCCCATAGAAGAAGTTAAAGAAGTCGAAATTAAAGAGAAAAAACCTAAAAAGTTAAAGGTAGCGGAGACTCCAAAAGAATATGAAGTTGGAATAGTTGAAGAAGTGGCTGCATCAGTTGATGAAAAGGATGACCAACCAGATGGCGCCATCTTCTCAATCAAGAAAAAACCAAAGAAGCAGGCTCCTGAAGAATTTGAAGCTTCCGTAGTTTTAACCGAACCAAAGCCTGTGGAAGAAGTTGAAATACAAGTGGAAATAAAGAAGAAACCAAAGAAACCTAAGACTAAAGAAGAAGCATCTGCTGTTCATGAAGTTAAGATTATTGAAACGGAAATTCCGAAAGAAGAAATTTTGGAACAAGCTATAGAAGAGATAACAGTTATCACAGAAGTGCCTGCTATAGAGGAAGCGCCTAAAGAATATAAATTTGGCATTGTCGAATCTCAAGTTGAAGAAGAAATTGCTGAGGCGGAATTCACAGTTAAAGAAGAAGAAATCGTTGAGAAGCCAAGAGAAGAATCTGAAGCTGAGTTTGTTGTTAAAGAAAGTAAACCAGTGGAAGAAGTTGTGGAGGAAGCTAAAATAAAGACCAAAAAGTCCAAAAAGAAGCCAGCAGAGGCACAAGAAGTTGAATTAAAAGTAAAAGTCACAGAAGAAATTCCAGAAAAACCCACGCCAGAGGTGGAAGAAGTAGAAGAGATAGTTACCGTTCCCGAAAAAGTTGTGACCGAACAAAAGCCCAAAGAATATGTTATTGGTGTTAAGGAGTCTATGCCTGAAAAACCTGAACAGGTACCTGTTGAAGAAACCGAAACACCTCAAGAACAAAAGGAAACGATTGAAGAAGCGCCCTTACAAGAGGTAAAAATTATTACAACTACTCCGAAAGAGACAATAACTGAAGAGGTATCTGTGGTTAAGAAAAAGGTTAAAAAACCGAAGGAAACTAAAGAAGAGCTGAAGGTCGATGTGGTTGAAGAAGTACCAAAAACTGTTGAAGAAGAAACGCAGTCAGAAATAAACGTTCCAGTCCAAATTGAGGAGGAAGTAGAAGAGCAACCAAAGGCGTATGAGGTTCAAATTAGAGAAACAGAAGCTAAAGAAGAAACCATTGAAGAACAAATTACCATACCAAAGAAGAAGAAACCAACGCCTCAAGTGACAGAAGAGCCAGAAGAAGAAGTAAAACTGACAACAACAAAACCGGTTGAAGAAGTGCAAGAAGAAGTTAAGATCAAAAAGAAACCTAAAAAGAAGCCAGCCGAAGAAGAAGCCGCTGCTGAGCTTAAAGTAACCGTGGTTGAAGAAATACCTATTGTTCAGGAAATCGAAGAAGTTGTGGAAGAAGTGGAAGAAGTACAACCTGTAACTAAAATTGTTGAAGAAGAGAAGCCAAAAGAATATGAGTTCAAGGTAACAGAAAGTGAGGCTGAGAAACCAAAAGAAGTAGTTACTGCAGAAGAGGTTACTCTTTCACAGAAGAAGAAGAAGCCCGCTCCACAAGTTCAAGAAGAACCAGAAGTAGAAGTTAAACTGACAACAATTGAACCTGTGAAAGAAGTTCAAGAAGAAATTAAAATCAAAAAGAAACCAAAGAAAAAGCCAGAAGAAGAAGTGGCTGAAGTTGAACTTAAGGTTAGTGTTATTGAAGAGGTACCAGCTGCTCCGACAGTAGAAGAGCAAATTGTGGAGGAAGAAGAAGTGAAACCCACAGCTCAAGTAATAAAAGAAGAATTAGCAAAGGAGTACGAAATTCAGGTTACAGAAAGTAAGATTGAAAAACCAAAAGAAGAAATTGTTGAAGAACAGATCAGCTTACCAGCTAAGAAAAAACCAACTCCTCAAGTAACCGAAGAACCAGAAGCAGAGGTTACATTGACAACAACGAAACCAACAGAGGAAGTGAAGGAAGAAATCAAAATTAAGAAGAAACCTAAAAAGGAACCTAAAGTTGAAGAAGCTCAAGCCGAGCTCAAGGTGACTGTTGTGGAAGAGATACCTGCTGCTCCTGAGGTGGTTGAAGAAATTGAGGAAGTGGAAGAAATCCAAACGAAACCAGAAGAACCGAAACCAAAGGAATATGAATTTAAGGTTACAGAAACTGAAAAACCAAAGGAAGAAGTCTCTGAAGAACAAATAACACTTCCGAAGAA